ATCAGTATCTTTATACATTGTTAATGAACAGCATGCCAAGGCGTGACGCCAATATAAGCACTTGTTTTAAATCTAAACTACCAAGACAAGGAACACCTTGAATTTTTCCAATGATCACGAACAGGAAACAAGATGCGAACTGTAGGTACCTAGATACAATTATCGCAACCATTCACGACATCCGGGAGCAAGTCGTCCTTCGTAGTTTTTCCAGTGTAATTGAAATCTGATGCGCAACTCTGCGCGAGAGCACTTTTTTGATGCAACGATCCGCAAAATCGACACAATAAGAAAAATTTCACAGAACGGCAACGCCGCTCAACTGGAGATCAACTTAACAAACAACATATAACTACGTGCAGAAATGGAAAGAACGAAATGAGTTCAATATCTTTTAATTATATGTTAAGTAGAGATAAAAATATATAGCGGTATAACTGAATTGAATTGCTTTGCAAAGGTGCAAATAAAATGTATTAAGAACAAAGTTAATATGAGAAAGTATTTAGTGTTCAAATAATTTGTTTATGGGCGTCCCAAAAACTTTCAAATCAAGTTTCCACAATTCTATACCTCTCGCATAACCTGTTATGTAAAAACTGTTTTCGGCTATCCATCAAGTTGTCATCACAGTGAAACGGAATATATTCGGTAATGGCAACACTAGGTAGTTAGTAATAAAAAGTAGGTTCCCGGTAACCATCACGGAGCCAAATTTGGCGTAAACACGAATTGGCAACGTCGTGCCAGTTGCTCGCAAAATGCACGTAGCCACTTCAGTCCACGTAAACAAATACTATTGCGTCATGCCACATTGATTGTATTTCCATAATCGCACTTAAACGTCTGGCATTAAAGTACAAATTTAGTAACCAGACTGCGAGACTGATTAAATTGTTTTCACAAATTTTTCGCCACGCATATAAGAAATTCGGGACTGGATATAACAATGTAACATTATATAAGGTTTTAAACAATAATACAAGTCAGAGTCCAATGATAAATCCAATCAATTTGACTGTTATTGAACAAGTTGAATGTTTTATCGACATTTAACATAGAAATCTCACAGTAAACTATGTGCATGTAGCAAATTATTTACGAAGATATGAAACTAACTAATATTATATAACTATTATTTCCATGAGAAATAGAACGAAATATAATTTCAAGATTTCAGAAATAAACTACAAAGAACAAAATTCAAAGACAAACATATATAAATTCCTTGCAGATAAGATACTTCATGGTTGAATGGAAGAGATAAACCCCTTTGAGATAAGTCGGTCTTTTTAGTTTGTATATTTTACTTTAAAATTATGTAATATATTTGTTGGTCAAAGCAAAGAAATATATACCTATGTATTATCTTCATAACAAGATACTCAGATGAAACTGACGTAATTATGAAAGCTTTTCATTCTCCCTTACAGAGCCAGAGAAAATATATCCAGCAACAAAGACTCTCACTTCGATGTGTGCATTTATTCAGAAAGTATTTATAGAGACATATACTCATACTCATATACCTAAGTCTTATAAATTAATATATCTCTTCAATACACTGTATGCCATTTGAACAATAAACGTAGCCACAACTCAACCCTAGCAGCAACGTTTATTTATACTTCAATCATAATGAACCACAATGAATAGAGTGGTCTACGCAGGTCATATTCCCGTCGCTGGTCGGTTCCCCTCGGCTAACACTCGGGTCACGTTGCCAAGCCATCCCAAGGTTTACACCGACCGTCCACGTGCTTTTACCACTTGCGTAAACTTAAGTTATTTTCCATTTAAAACCCGTGGCCGGCGACAATGAAAATATTGAGAAATTCTGTTATCGCAAAAATAGATCGCTCAAAAGAATGCGATTTCACTAACGTCAAAAGCTATTATTAATAAGCAGCTCGTTAATTCACGCCATATTTTAACACGAAATAAATTGCTGTTACAATGTTGCAGACATAATAGAGAATGGTAGACACAAATTCCATATTAAATTAGTTAATGTATTTATTTCACCAAGTCTTAAAATATGATGGCTACCCACTACCTACCGTACTTCTTAACTAAATAAGTTGTAATTTTGTTTGATATATAATATATATAGGTTATTGTTTATTCATTCTCATATTGTATTTGTGCATTTTGATCCTGTGAAGTATATCATGAAATTAGTCATAAATGCATTTGCTATAGACAAGGACATATGCTCTTGTTTTCCACAGTCAATCATGATTATACGAACGTAATCGCGGGCAGAAGCTAGTACTTTTGACAACAAATATATGTATTTACTTGCATTAGTTCCAAGCCAATGTGCGCCGACGTTATCTATCAGACATGAGGATTTACATAAATCTACATAATTCGGCAACAGAAACGAAAGCCGATAATGCACAATAAAGGACTGCAATCTAATTTCGGTTGCGCTGCACAACAAGCATTGTCGTAGCGGGAGATACTTTCAAAAGTGCCCCAGATGTTGGGTAACGGTAAAGAGACCATCTCGCGAACTCGCGACAGATGTGGCGCTGCACATTGCGAATACACGTTACCAGTATTTTAACCAGCAATTATTCGATTTACGAATTTTTTTTATACAAATGGCAAATAAACTGTGGGCCTCATGGAAAGTGATAACCGTCTTCCATAGACATAAACAACACCGTGAACATTACCATATAAACGGTGATGTCCATAGTTACGGCTTAATACTACCATTCTACCACAATAACCAAAACTTATTTTATACTTGGAAAATACCCTCATGATCATAACCACCTCCTAACCTACCCATAAATTAAGTCATATATTATAGGCGCTACTTTATTATCTTAGTAAAATTTATCAAGTTTCATGAGTCTTTTATCGGGATTTCAGTTTACCCTTTGAGATTTTACTATGTTCAGAAAACTGTTTATATCAGGGTAAAGTTCAATAACATTTTACTTCATACAACCTATTTTTAATTGGATATTTGATATAATTTCAACCTATTTATTTACCCTATATTAAATGGGACCGTCGGGCAATGACCGTAAAAAAGATAACCAACCCTTTGACTATGTACCTGTATAATTAAGGAGGTAAACATTAATTTCACAATTTCAACAGAACCCGGTTAATTAGACCCTCGACTATAAACATAGCAATATTAATATTGCAAACAAAAAAAAAATATTAGCAAAGCCCGTGACTTCGTATCCATGGTATATAGAATAACAGAACTTCACTTTTTTGTTTGTAAAACAATCATAATATATTAAACAATACTTAAGTAAAGCTTACCAATATTATAGTCAATATCGCATCAAAATTGATTAAGCCATTTCTTGGATTGGCCAAACAGGAAAACAGATAAAAATTCTAACAATCATTGTTTGAGGGTAAAGGTGATTGTTACTAATGTGAACTGATGATCATATTGCTAGCAATTTACCACGTCAGGTTTACCTCCATGCGGTTCCTCGTGGAAGCCATCGTGATAAATTCTTGGTACATTTGTCACGATGGGCTAACTGACCTGATCACATGCTCATCTTATCATACTCCACTGGTCCCCGCCGGCGTAAACCGTTAGCGCAGCGGGTGCACCATTCAATTAACATCCATCAAAAACACCAGCTTTATTAATGTAATGTTGATTTTTATTTAATTGACGTAGTTTTAAGTACCTATACTTTGGCACGTCTAGAAGACATTATGCCCTGATTCGAATATTGGAACGTCTAAATATCGATTTGCATAATAATGAACTGTTCGTTTGCCAAAGCACCGCACCTCAATGCGAGGCGACAGAGTTCACTCAATTACATATTCATCAGGCGGTGTTCGCCTAAACGTCACGCTGAATTAACTGGAAAACCGACTGCGATACATCGTTATCATATCGCATATTGACGTAATTGTATCGATATTTCCTATCATATCGAGTAAGAGCGGCGCCGGCGAATATCGATAACGTGCGATAATCAAATGACATTTCAATGATATCGATATATTTAGACGATGTGCGCAATCTAGCCTACTAGTAATATTATACGAAGTGTAAAGAAAAACCAGTAAAATGATTGCAAATCTAACACGTATTGCAAGTAACCTTTTCCATCCAGTAACAACATGTTCATGTAAGTCCACTTGTAATATAAGTAACTTAGACTAAGATGTAGTCCTTGTTAAGGATTGCTATCTCATAATTAGCTTTTATATTTCGATTTTATTATATTTTTCTTATGAATTCTGTAAATACTTTGTACGTGGGATGACAAATAAAATGAAATTTCAATTTTACTAGGGACTACTTCAAATGAGAACAGCGTCTTGAATGCCAATTTAATAACTTAGAATATTGTAAATTACGACGATGATATCAAAATATACTTTCTGTATAAAATTTCCTTTAATGTATCAAATTAAATACATAAAGACTGAAACTTTATTGTAAATAATGTTATTTAAATACTATCCTACGTATAGACATAAGCATAATTAATTTATACGTTTTAAAGTGCTAATGGAATAATGTGGAAAGTAGTGAGAGAAATCGGTGAAGTTATCTTTCTTGGCAAGAAACTACTCTTTAAATAAAGTTTTCCACGGCACTACGATATAAATGCCACAATATGTTAAATTGCGGATTGCAAGAACTAAGTACGTACATATATTAATTAATACGTATGATACTTATACGATATGTATAAGTATCATTCTCGTTTACGTACAGTCGTATATATATATGTTTAAACGTACGCGAAAGTAAATATTTACATATAGCTAAATTGATAAAAATTTAAAACCATTTTCACTATTATTGTTTACCACTATATCACAAAGTAAAAACATCATCAAAAAAACAAGAACAGTTTGTGCGTATTTCAGGTAAGTACATTCTACGTTAATGTTGTTTTCCACCAGTTCAAGTTCATTCTATGTTTTGGTTTTTTCCTCACGTATTAATATAAATATAAATAAACTTATATTAGAGGATGTTTTACCTTGTAGCCGGTGGTGTCTGTTTGTGCGTGTTGTTGCGTGTGTGTCGCGGTGGGACTCAGCACGCGTCGTTTCTTGGCTGGTTGTTGACGCGCCGGCGACACGGCCGGCTGGTAATCAGGCTGCGTGCTCTCGGGCTGACTTCTGCGATATTGCGCCGGCGGCTCCGTGTACATGACATGCATTCCCTGTTAAAACAACAGTCGCTTTATTAATTGAAAAAGATGTATAAATATTTAAATTAAAAAAAAAATTATATATATATATATACTGAATTTTATTGATTTTATAAACGCAAAATTTTGTGTGAGTATGCATGAATGGCTGTTTGTTACTATGTATTTCAAAAACTACTGAAAGGATTTTGATCATAGTTTACAATAATATGTCTTATAAATCAGAATAACACAGGAATTTCTGCGGGTAAAACCGCGAGCACAGTTAGTAAAAACAACTATATTTTAATACAAATTAACATACCACAGTAATAAATGCTATGTAATAAATGTCTCATTACTGGAAGATCTGGGCCATACAGAGCAAGACAAAGATTGTTGTGGACAAATAGATATAGTTTTTGTTCCCATAAAGGCAATATTTTTGGTTAAAAATAATTTAATTATATAAAGGTGTACGAGCTAGTATCGTACATCATTTTGCAACATTAACATTTAATTTTACATTTCACAGTTAATCAGCTATATTTTAAGTTTCAATATACAGTTTTAATCAAGTTTCTATCAGTATCATTTATCAGTTTTACCATCAGAATCTTTATAGTTTCGGTACAACCCGAACAAAAGGCATAAACATGAGAGAGACGGACAAATTTCCATCGTTTTTATCACGTTTTTCATTGATACTCTGCTCCTATCGGTCGTAGCATTATGTTAGGTATATAGTTATGTGTGTGTTGTGTATGTATATCATCTGTTATAACATTCCTTTACGAATAAATTATCTAAACCTACACGAGTTTCTCCATGCAAAACAGTAGTTCCTAAGAATAAAAAAGCACATTAAACCAAACAAACTTTTCAGTTCTAGAATATTAGTATAGATTTTTGGTACTTAATCTACAGTTACTCAACGAGAGATAAAAGTACTTAATTGTGAATGATAGTATAATGTACTTAACGACATGTTGTGTAGGTATACTAAACGCTGCGAGAAAGTAATGCGTTGGGCAATTCCTCTTGTGCACAATGCCCGTTATTAGCCTTTATGTCGCTCATCGCATTCAGTTGTCACGTTTTGAACATAACGCGCATTAATACGATGTTTGCACACGTAATGACTGGTGTAGACTGTAATTAACGTTTTTCATGTGTCAGATTATAATTTTCACGCTTATCTCTATTTCAGATTGCGACCAGATACAGTTAATTTAACAGTCTGACATATTGATTGTTAGAATGTTTGTTCATGCAACGACAAGTAGGGATGACAGAAAATTATATATAATTTGCATAATCTCGCTCATGTATCAATTTTTCAGGTTTATCTGGGTGTTCCAGGATTCAATGTAATGTATAAACATGTTCCACTATTATTTGAAAATAATACGAGCTGAGTTTCTTGTCAGTTCTTCTCATCTCGATATCATTCCGAACTGACGGTAGATTTGACATATCATAAGAGTCTGTAATAGACCTACATGAATAAAAATATTTTGAATTTGAATTTGAATTTCAGTATTCAACGAAAGCATATAATCAGTCTATTTAAAAGGTATAAAACTATTTCAATAAGATCACATTTTGTTTTTTTTTTTTATTGAATTACATAATAAAAAATAACCGCGTGTACGTATGAATTCGTTAGAAAAAGGACTAGTAATAATACTTTGACTCGACTTCTATATGGCGGGCGGCGGGGTACTGTGCCCGGGCAGTCCGAAGGTCAGTTGACACGGGAGCTTCTGTCCCGGCCAAAGCCGTCGTTGTACGCACAATATAAAGTTTTACAATAACACGATTTTGAAAAACTTTTATGTTAAGAATTAAAAATTAATTATATCTTAATCCTATTGCCCTTATCTGTTTGATAGGAGTGATTAGAATTGTACACATCTAATGCCCTACTGCCTCGATAACAAATCTTAATACCTACCTGAATGAAAATCAAAACTAGGTATGTTTAAACGAACTATGGCAATTGTACCAAGCTCGTATAAAGCCTAGAACGAATCAGGCTTTTCTCTTGTACGCCATAGTGCCATATATCATAAGCTGCTTGGCAACTAAAAAGTGTTTGAAGTTGATAGTCTATATTAAAAACCATCACTCTTGTTTGCTGGAGGAATATTGCCATGTTTAATTTGTTTTAATTGTAATAAATAACATATTTAGAATATATTGTACACAGATTTTAATAATGACGCCACGGAATGTTCGAGAAGTTGTGCAAAATTGTATATAAAATAACATCAATGTTCTGTGCCTGACGTTCCAAATTTGAATTATCATAATTTTATTTTTAAATATATTAAATGGCTTTTTGCGATCGCAAACAACTCTATATTATTATAGTCACCGTAACCACAAAACTTACAACTCCAACCATAACGATTAAGGAATCATTAAAACCTGCATAGAAACGCTAAAGATATCTCGTAACAGTATAAAATAATCCAAAATGATAACCTGCATCGTAGTTGTCCATTGACCACTGGGTACACCCTTCCATTCAAGTAATTCACACTATAACATGTTGGGTCGGTTCACCCACGCGTTTGGTTTAGAAAGTCGATGGGAGCGATATAATGCCTGGTTTTGGAGCCAGACCGTTTCATTGTTCTACCACAATAGGATTATAGGATATCATAGACATTTTCACTTCCGCTTAGCGTTAGCAGATTTTCATTGCTCGTTTATTATAGTGGCTCTACGGTGATTACCATAGTTTTGTCTCTCAGTTGCGTTATGGTAATGGCATAGATTAATATTGTGTGTGTTGTTTATGTAGACTGTAGTGAAACAAGAGCTAGCAAGATGAACATTAGACTAAACACTACAAATGGTTTAATTCTACAATCACAAAGTTTCTCATTTCTCTAATTATTCCCCTTATTCGATAATATGTGTGTGTAGTGGCTTACTGTATTGTTTTTTTTTTTTCAAACAGCAAGATTTTTTAAGTTATATGAATCTTATACCATTCCTGTCTACTCTACATAGGTTAAAGTACATAGAAATCTTCCGTAAAAACATCTAAATGACGTTATCAAATGAGTTGTGTAATTTTTGTAAATAATTCCTATGGTAATTGGCTACCGTAATCGTTTACCATCAAATGTCGTGTCGTGTCGTGTCGTGCTATCGTTGTCGTCGATCTCATATTGTATTATTTTACTGATAAAGGCTATAACAGAATAGCAGAGAGAGTGGACTCACTGCCCTCACTGAGTTATAGACCGTTTTATCTCCTACAGTAGTTTTATTTCTTTCTCCTTCATTATTATTGTATGGGCCACAATTATATTAGTTTATGATTGAGACAAATAAAGATTATTATTATCAAAATAACCGTAACTGAATTACCACCATCATAGTATAAAAAAAAATTATAAGAAGTAAACAGAGATACAAACATTACTTATAGTATGCAGAACGGTTGGATCCTGTATTTGCGTACAAATGTTACAAAAAGTATCATTACTGTTACTCAGTGGAACCTTACAAGTGTCCGTCTCAGATTTTATTGTAATAAGCGGATTTCTCGTTCGGCCGAGGCACGACTCTGTGTCGGCTCAAGGCGAATCGGGTTACATTGTAAGTCTAGATTGTTTTGCATCGCTCCGTGTTGCTCTGGCCTTCCAATATAAACAAGCAGCGGAACTTCTTAGTAAATGTTGAACGTCATAACATTCTAAGATTATTTGCTTTACTTGACCCTGGTAGTTTTTTTTTAATTTCGTATAAAAATCTTACTGGTCAATTTGCGCCGCCTTGCGCCTTTTTTGGGAGAGGGGATTATAAGTAATAGTACTAGTTGTCCCATTGTTATCAATGTATAATCAGAACAACCTCAAACCTTAGCCCAATTCCTGGTAAATTCGTCACGGTTGGCTAAACTGCTGATCCTATCATTTCCTATTATCGTTTCGCCAGCCTACCTATACATTTAGCAAAAACGGGAGCACTATTCCATCATAGATGATTAAAAACAACACCTAATTTGACCACAGACATGGCGGCTCTTAGCAAATGAGAATTCGATTGCTAAGGCATTTTCTATGTAATTACTTTAACAAGCGTCAGAAAAAGTATTAAAAATATCCGACCTTGCCGGTAAGTTGGTGAATTTTGCATGCCCCTGGAGACTATAATTTCATGGATAATTAAATTGATATCGCTTTCAGAAGATAAGGCTTTAAGAATGAAGGGCTCGACAGAACGATGTAATTTCTATGATAGCTGCGTGATACCTAAATATTATATAAAGCTTTATCGTTGTTTACAATATACATTTTTTTATTATCGTTCAACATTCGTTTATACATAATACAGGCTGATAAAGGGGCGGCTTTCGGAACAAACAGAGTACGTACAATGTGGGCGATGATGTCGATTCTATATAATTCAAACTGTAGGCTTCACTCTAAATGTTCGTCCCATATTGACATTAATATAATAAGAATATTTTTTACTAATATTATAAACAGAAAAGATTTAATTTTCTGGGCATAGACTGAAAAAATATTATTGTCCTATTTTAAAAATTCTTTTAACTAGATTCAGAAAACAACATTATCAGGAAGCGAAATATACCAAGCCGGCGGCAGTGCCCTATTAGTTGTAGAGCTACGTAATAAATATATATATATATATATATATATAGACACACAAATAAATACACACTGTCGTTACCTTATCCGTATTTGGGTAGCCTAAAGAGAACTAAAGTATCAACTGAATGAAAATTATTTGTATTTTATTTTAAATAAATGAATATGAATAAATCAGCGATTATAGTGGGGCCCTTGGGGAGGGATAAACAGGTTCACATTCATCATACAATATATGCATTTTGCTCGTACGTTGCATTTCCACTACAGTAACGATCATAACAAATTTGGCAAACAAGCGAATCCAATTCAATGAGGAACGATGTCGCAACTCGCAATAAATAGCTTGTATTGTTCTGTTTTTATTATGTGTGGGGACGGAGTAAGTATACATGTGTCGCAATTCCTGTCCATCATCAAGATGTCGTAAGAACCAATGGGGAACAAAGCGCATAAGTGTCATGAAAATAAATAAACAAAATCGGATGTTGTAATGAACTATAAGCCTTCCAACATTGGAAACTTCTATGGTATGTTCAATAGGTCCACTATTGGGCATACCATAGGAGCGTAACACTTTGGGCGTACCATAAATTTATGGTTTATGCAAACTGTGATAGGAAGACGTGAGTACCTCAATCAAAAAACTAAGTGCGTCATTACCTAACTACTAGCCTTGATGTTACAAAAACTATTTATTGTTATGAAACTACTTTATATAATAAAATACCATCTATCCTTGTAAGTTGTTAGACATTAATCGTGTCTAGGAACTCAGTATTGAAATGTAGTAGTTTAGCTTCGTAATATAGAGCAAAGAATTGACATTCAATGTGCCGTAGAACATGAGTAAATATAGTTTCGAAATCTACTTCAGTAGTCCATATGTATGGTGTTATTCTTTTGTTTGACGAAAAGAATAATGTGTAAAGTATTGCATTGTATTGTACACATATATTTACTTTACAATAAAATAAACGACTACAATACTATATAATTTCAAATTAAATCATTAGTGAATATAATACTTAAAATAGTCTTGTTTCTTGTATTGTGTATATATTGCAGAATTGCAACAATAGCTGCGAAATTAAACTGCTATCAATTTAAAGAGTACATAGAAATCTACACAAAAGAAATGTTCATGTGGTCAAGTGAAAGTAGGCCAAATAGAGACTTCAAGTTGGAAAACATCTGCATAAGTCGTAACTTCTGATCTAGTGGATTCAAATAAGCAACGTTGATTAAAACGGATTAAATAATTGTTAACAACATATGACGGAAATTAAAGATTACATTCAAAATCTGCTTCAAATGGATTCCTCTCCATTCTTAAAACCTATTCCGAACGTTAAACAATTGTAACATATGCTTCTTTTGAACTCGATGATACACTAGCAACTTAAAAAAGAAAAACAAAGTAGCATCAAATTGGTTTTAGCAAAAATTATCAGCGAACTGAGCATCTCCTTCATTTGCCTATATGCCGGCGCGACCCGAATTGAAAATTGAATTTTCTGTGAACCCATTTAGAAAACAATCGCTTATTAATTCTCCTAGGGTCCAAAAGTTTCGAGTTGAATTTAAGGGTAAATTATCATCATAATCAGAAATCAGCTAAACAGAAAACAGAAATTCTCCATGGAAAATATTAGAATACTTTGAGAATCACGATTATTTGGCACTTGTTATTATAAAGAAATAAATTTAAATGCGTGCAATTCCGTATCAGAAAGAAATCTACGAATGCTGCCAAATTTTAGTTACCTACTAATTTCACAAAAAAAAGACTCAAGGTTTTGGCTGGAATGCTTTTTGAATGTTGCAAGGCAAACTAGCCAACAATAAAAATTATTTTAAAAAATTAAGTAAAGTAAATGCATCACGAGGTCTGGCCAAAAATATATTAGCTACTATTAAAAAAGGCGCCTGAATGTCTGCAAGTTTCACTATCCACCTGACAATAAATAGTTTCTTCTTTTATACCAAACAGAGCTCGCCAATGACCGACCGACTACCAAAGAAACTCTCACTTCAACATTTTAAGTGGGTATTTATATAATTTTATATACTTTCTTGAAATCGGCATGATATAGTTTACCCCTCTTGGTCCTATTAACGTTGAACGAATGGGATGGGACGCATGTTGACAAAACTGCTAAAAAAAATCTAATTAAGATTTTGAAATACTCATTTAAATAATCACTTTTATTGTACCTGAGAGATATGTACAAATATTCCCAAATTAATACGGCTGTTTACTTCGAAGAATTATTAACAAGGTACTATAATAAAAAACAGAGATAAAGCAACACAAATTGACATAAATATGCCATGCCACTCCGCACAGTGCGAGTTGAATATGAAATAGGCACCTACAGCCTAAAGAGACTGTTGGTTGTTGACCTCTTTAGACAGTGTCGCGAATATACCGTGCATCACTAAAGAGAACTCCCTACTTTTCTTTTCTGGCTTTTAATTTGTCGCAGTAAGACGACTGACATTTGAAGTGTGTCAGTCTTAGATAACGAAATTTTTTAATAAAGAGTCATTTGAAAGAAAATGCAACTGACATTGAACGAAGACAATTACTGTTGATTGAAACGAAAGGTTTTTCAACAAAAAGAGGGAAAACTGAACTACAAAAAATATAATAAAATAATTTATACATACTTATTACTAGTAAGTACTACTTATTACTAGTATTTAATCCGTATAAAAATTTATTAAAAAAAAATATTTAAAGAGTTTCCGTACTTGGCTGTTTTTACTACATGTTATCTGGAAGATTTAACGATTTTGTTTACAATCAATAAAGACTAAACTGACTCTTGTTTGTTTCACGCTAATTTTATCGTTTCCGTAGTTTTTTTGTGTAACTTGTCATTATTTTGCGTCATCTTCATATTTCATTTTACTTAAGTAATATATTTTAATGGACCTGAAGGTCCATTAAAATATATTACTTTATGGGAGTAGTGCAAACACAGTTCAAATTAACAACGCTAGGAGTGGACTAATACTAATTTGCAAACTCGTGTTACCAAGCAACCTGAATTCATAAAATTTAATTGGCTATAGTTTTTCGTAATACAACAAAATACCTGCTATCTAAATTCGTCTGAGTGAGATCTGTATTTAGCGAAAAAACATACAATTTCAGCAACAATGGTAGAATGTAGACTGTTGACGGGCAATAATACAATGCTATCGTTGCCGTTAGGTACGCATTTCGGTTTTCGTGCAGTATAACGGTGCCGGCGACATTTCACGAACGCAGCCAGATTCGACATCGCGACCTTTATAACTTGAATACAACAATTTAAAACGTGATTGTGTTATAACATCTTTTTATTTACATAAAAAGTGTTTATAGAACAGAATGAGTTTGAAAGGAAATCTTAGCAGAAATATATTAATCTTTTTTCAAATAAATTAATTAATATAACAATAATATAGTAAATACTGAATTTCTTCTCTCTGTTCTGAATTTTATTTATCTCTACCACTCTAAAGCAGACTAATCATGAGAAGAACAAAAGAAACTGTATACCTCTCTAAAATCTTGTTCAGTACTTAAAAGAGCAGCAACAAGCAAAAAGAATAATTATTTTAATTTCATTTTAACAGTCATCTCAAATGATATGCTAATCACACAAACATTATATTCAAATTATGTTGTACTAGCAACTAAATATTTCATTACTATGTATATGCCAGCAAATTTATGCAAGTAGACTGTATACAAAGGCTACATGGCTTCTTCAATATAACTTTTCATCTCAAATGAAGTTTACTTTACTTGTAACAGTAATTTGTTTTCCAATAACATAAATTACCAAAGAGGAAAGTATAGAAAATTGTCTATTCTTCGCTCTTTCTAACTATGAGGTTTTCTTTAAGTATCCGGAGGGAATGGTGAGATATTGAAGTTAAATTCAGGGTACAGATGCATTAAACATTAGTTCTCAGATATGATACACCGATGCTCATACCTCTTATGAGCATTGGTATCTAAATCAATGGTGGACTTTTGTACAAACAAATTTGTTTCTTTCATTAGGGTAGTCAAACAGGGCAATATTATAGAACAATCCAATGTACACAGATCTACAATCATTAATTGCTTATGAGAAATTTCAGTTCATATTCATAAAATAATGATTAGAACTCATAGGTACATTAGTTATAAAGTTATATTATACTGATTGTTTTATTGATTCCATAATTGATGCTATTCATTACTACTATATAAACTATATCTTAACTAACTATATACAAGAATTAAAGAGCATGATGGCAGATCACGGAAAGTGGCAAGAGCTCCACAGACAAGAGCGTAGCTCTTAAATTATGAATTAATTAATTAATTAATGAAACTATATCTTAACCAACCTCAAAATTTTATCAGTATGGATCTCAACATAGCAAACTTACATATTGCATATGTTTAACACTAAGATATAGATTGTGTGAATTAAAATAACAATTGATAAATTATGAACATGCTTCATTTATTTCAGCCTCTGTCGCCTAGCAGTTAACTATACTGCTTTATTTCTGATGGTTGCTAGTTAAACTCCTCACACTTTACAAACATTTCTATGTATTTATGTACAAAAAATATCTAAATATATCTATCATTTTTCAAGTATCCATAACACAGACTCTGGCTAGCTTGGGACTAGATAGTGCTGTGTGAATTGTCCAGAGAGTATTGTTATCTGGGCCATATTTTTTTTAATATCAATATGAATATCATAAATGTGAACATGTGTCTATTTGTTACCTTTCCACAACTAAATGATTTTACAGATCCTAATGAAATTGGTTTTGAAGATAGATGATACCATGAGACGTAAAGAGATACATCTTTTATCTCAATTAAGCAGATGAAATAATGAACAAAATTAATACAAGCACAGACTCAGTAATATATTATTTCAAATGTAACAAATAAAAACATTCATACTTGTTTATAAAACAGCCAATAATTTGGTTATAAACATAAAATAAGCTTACGAACTGTACAACTGACTAATTCATGTTATTGATATTAGAATTAGGTAGGAATCTTTATTGGATACAGAAAAATAAGATTCTTATAAGAAATCTATATACGTAAGCACGTACTAAAAATAATCTGTCATGTGTTTACCTCGACTCGAGTGTCGAGAACACGGCAGGAAATCAACACCAAGCTAAAATTATATCAGAATATGTCATGGACGACCCACGTACGTGCCACAGACTACAATATTAGTTTACTCAAGAAACAAAAAAGGTTATTAGAAACTCACACGTTGCAAGTGAGCGTTTCGTATCGCTTGCGTAGAAAGCAATCGACCGATACCGCACTTCGGCGGGAACCAGTACTTTTCCACTTCACGTCGCTACACCAAAGCCATTAAATCTTATCAAGGACCTTCCTCACCTCTCGAAGTTAAACTTGTGACAGTACGATCCCACTATCATGCTGAAAGAAGTACACAAAAGCGGACAAAGGGTCCTTCAAAACACAGCCATTTTGAAACAGTTAATCCGAAATTGTTACGTGTACAGCAAACGCTTACTGTTTATGGACCAAAAAAATACACAACTATCCGTTCGCACTCATTTTGCAATCTCAACACTAAATTAAACTAACACTAAACATTTCACACACTTTTGTACGATTTCACTTCATACTTTCGCACACACCCGATTACGTCGCACAAGTCCGTCAAACGGAAGCGACAAACTCAACAAACCAAAGAATGATCGTCTACAAAATACTGCGACGTAAAATAACAGTGTTGCCATGACAAGCAGATAATTTCTACCACAATTTATAATATGTAGGAATCTAAATAATAAATTAAACTTTTTTTGTCTTGACATTTTATCTCTTTTCATACAAAATTATTCGTATGTGATGTTATATTTTTGTATTTATTCAATTTCTTTGTAAATACTATGCTAATTTATAAAATAATGAATAAAATACATACCTACCTCGTAATAGTTGATATTTATTACTGCATATTGAAACCTTTATGTTAACACATTATGTACTCCTACAAGATACATTTTTTTAAAAAAAGAATTAAAAAAGATATCAATTTTTATTTATTTTTCCACCAATTTTATATCCGAAGCGTAATTGTATGCCTAGGGATGTAAAAATAATCTTCCGTACATTCATAGTTCTAAAACATTGAATCAAACTTAGTATGTTTAAAAAAAATATTGTATATAATTAGTTTTATGACGGCCGGAGGATTAAAAAAATCTGAAATATTTTAATAGATTCAATTGCGTATTTCAGTTAAGTCTATTTGAGCGACTCTAGTACCGAAGTTGATTTTGTTCCTTTTGTTTAACACGAGATCCCTAATCAGTAAATGGTTGCCAAACAGAGTATGTGTGTGTGCTGCTTACAGAACGATGAATTTCACGGCGCTGAATTTCTAACGCTAAAATCTGCAACGGCACAACGTACCTAATTACATTTTATTGAAATCAAAACGCCAATTATATTAAAGTCATATTTATAAACATATTAGAAAACATAAGTTCTTTTTAAACTCTGCTATTTTTAAGGGCATATTTTTTATACTACTACGACAAAAAGTATGTGGCTCATTTGATGGTAAACGGTTACAGTAGCCAATGGACGCCTAAAACACGAGAGGTGTCTCTTTCATGTCGTTGCTGGCCCTTAAACCTTAATATACGTTTCTTGAAAAACCCTATACTGGAGTCTCTCGAGAAAACCCCGGCAGGTAGTTCATTCCACAATCTAAGTATACGAACATACTAGGAATCTTCTCTGATCCGCATTGTCCGGTCCCCTTAGGTTCCAAGTGTGTGGAGCTGAATTCTCTATCGATGGCGAGCGATGCGATTATTATTACTGGTATTTATTTTATATAAATATAGGTTATTTTTTATTACATTCAATTACTTATTTGTATTACGAAGTTAACAATTTAAAATCTACTAAAATAGCAGATATTTCAATTAGAGGTAGCAAGGAAAACGACGTCTAAAATGACAGTCATAGACTATTTTAAAAGATCTTGACAGTAAAAGATTTCATGACTACCGAAATAATATTAGCCATTTTCTGATCTTGTATTTTGTCAAATTAGAAAACATTTATCTTGTTCGCCGTTTTAAAAATATAAATTTACTAAGGTATTTTATGACCAAGTGAAGTTTAGCTTGTTTATGGTTTGCCCAATGCGAATGCGCGGGCATTTTAAGTGTGTTGCGTAGCAACGCAGTAACAATCCAGTAGAGCAAAGCACACACTGGCTTATTAGTATTTTGACGATTTTGGTCGTTTGTTGGGCCGCAATGAGTACAATTTTAAAACAAGTGAATAAATTAAATAATAATACCTCTGGCGTAGTATAAAATTAATTAGTTAATAAAAATGTGTAACTTTTACATTTATTTTCGGACGCACAAAAATTATAAACAATAGTAATTATAAATATAAAAATATATACATTAAAGAGTTAATATTAAGTTGTATATAACGTTAATAAAAACAATATGCAAAAGTCAACATTTTTATTGAACATATTGGGAACATATATTATTAAATATGTTATTGCCAACGAATACGACAGCGACGATAAACGTAAGTCGATTAACCTATTAATAGATAAAAGCACATAAAATAAAATAGTACTTTATGATCATGAGACTATGGAGTAAATTATTTAAACTTCGCTTTATCATTACAGTAATTACTTGCTTGATAATATTCAGCGTGTAGAAATGTGTTTCACCGAATTAAAACAACTGCAAATATTTACATTTTTTTTTATTTATGCAAAATTTGTTGGTACTTATAATGTTTAATATTTTTTATCCATTATTTCTAACTATAATAAAAAAAATATAGACGCATATGACATAATCTACATTTTAAGTTTAAACAGTTTTATACTAACTTATTATTCATAAATATTTAAATATGGCTGTGTTTCCGAAATATGCAACGAATTACATAAACTTATTGCTTTACAAACCGCTTTAAAAGACCCATGTGCTGTGAGTTCGATTCTGATCCACATTGTCTTCGTTTTAATAAGAATTGAGCTACTTAAACAAAAACCGTGACTGGAACATACAACTAAGTAGGATTAGACTAAGTCATACGGTGCTGTTCATCTATGCATGATTTAACAGTTACCATAAGATCGGCTGTTAACTTGTTTGCCCTTTCAGTTACATAAAAAAAAAAGATTAGCATTCTTATGAAACTCTTACATGTTACAGATATCACTGAAGTAGATACATTTTTCCATGTTCATATCGTATGACATCTATGGTGGCCTTTTTTTTCATAACGATGCAACTAAAAACCAGCAAAAGCATGGTCGCAAAGAACATATTTATTTTATATTATTATTATTTCTTATTAATATTACAAACGTAAAAGTTTGTGATTATGGATGGATGTTTGTTAATCTTTCACGTAACAACTACTGAACGGAGTTTGATGAAACTTTACAGTAATATAGCTAAAAGATGTTATGTAAATTGGGCGAAATATAAAGATAAATGTCAAGTGTGATGGCAGACGAAGTTGCGCGGATCAGCTAGTATATCTATATATAAATGTTTTAGTCCAAGCGACTTAGTACATTCACGGTATAGGTACCTTTATCGTTGATAAAATAGTATATCGCGCAGTGACATTTCATTATAGGTAATGCGAAATAATACATGTTTATTATATGCTGCATCGTCACAAAATATCTGAACATGACGGGAGATCGTAAATGATTATATCAATCAAAAGCAGGGGTCACCACGGTCGGATGCGTGTGCGCCGCTCCGCTCCGTGCACGTCCGGTGTCCGCACAAAAGGATGCGCACGCTGACCGCGTGAAACAGTCTCCATTACAACGCTATTATATGCCATTTTGTTTGTTACCATCTACCATCAACCTGGCCTGTGTATACTCCACAATAACGAGGACCTACTGTGACTGGGGGGAGGAGGTCTTATGGATGATAATGGAATGGTGCACCCGCCTGCATTAACGGTTTGCGCTGACGAGGCACCAGGAAGGATGATAAGATGAGCATGAGGTCAGGTCAGTTAGCTCATCGTGGTAAATTCACCATGAATGAATCCACGTGGAGGACAACCTGACAAAATGAGACATATATACGAGTATATACATTGCTAGCAATAGGCTCATTAGTCCACATTACAAACAATCCCCTTCACCCTGTGCGGAGGGGGTAGTAATGAAACCCCATTATATGCGAGTGAAAGTCCCGTCAGGTCTAGTCGTTTCTGTGATCAACAAAAACAAACAGACAGACAAATTTTTAGTAATTAATTTTTATGTAAGTACTGCATATACTTTCATACGTTTTCATTTTTTCATTCTTTTTCATTTAGTAAAAAGAAATTACAAACCGAAAACTTCAATTTTATTTATCTGTTTGTATTGTTATGTATCACCATCGTAATATAATATATAATTATATGTATTGCCTACTTATGGATAAAGTTTTATGATCGTTCCTTCTACGTAACACTATGAGACACGCCTGTTATTGATCAAATAAATTGGGCTGAATTTTGAAATGAACGCCATCCCGTTACGTTATGAATTTCCAGCCTGTTATGTTACGGTGCCATAAAACTGACGTGACATGACCAATAATGTTGGTACCATCCTGTGAGCCGCACCTTTTCCGCTATGTTTATCCGCGTTTTTCGTAAACACGATTGCCAACCCCCAAATAAAATTCGAAATTCCTTAGCAATTAGTCAATAAAAACTAAAAACCAAAAGATTGCCTCAGGTATACTTTAGGTATATACATATCCCTTTAAAAAGCTTACAATACATAATAAAAATTGGCAAAAAAAATAAGTTATCAAATTTATAAGCAGCCTTACTTATACTATTTATAAAAAGTAGAAAGTGAGAATTGTTATCAAACAATTCTCACTTTCTACTTTTTATAAATACCTATCAAGGTCTAATTATTAATAGTAAATCCTGAGAGTCATTCATTCAATTTATAGGGTCATTCATAAATTAGAATCCACACATTATCACAGTGTGAAGTCACGTATTTTAAATTTCTAAAACTGATGAACTCACTAAAAAAATCTACAGTTCTGAAATTAATTTTATTATTAAATATATTATACGTATGTGTATAGCAAAACGCTTATTCGTAACGTGAACAACATTTGAGGAAATGCGTTTTCCGCCGTACAAAGCACGGCGAATGGTACGGATTGGTGCAGGCAAGTCCGCGTGGAAAGCGGATTTTAATTTATAAGAATATAGCGGGGCCACGATACATACCTACATAAAAAACAATTTGTTTTCTATATAGGTATGTATGGAGTTTCTATATTAACGTTATTCCATTAATTTAAACACTGGCATTATTATATCAAAATGGATACAGTAAAAAAAATATATTCAGCCTGTTTTTAAATTATTTCATCTATTGTCATATATTATCTAGGTTGCTTAATGGTCGGCAAAGCGTACCTCTGGTGTTTGAGACGTCCTTGGGCAATGATCACCATTCCGACGTCGTAGTATAAAAAATCTATTTTAAATATTTATTTATCAATCTCTAGTAGGTAATATACATCGGTGAAAATAGTATGTAATATGGTTAGCGCAAATTACTAGCTATGTGCCTACTAACATATTGTTAGTAACACCTGAAAGATGTATGTCATGTGGAAATAAATGGAATTTATTTTATATATACATATTATGTGTTAGTTACACCAATTTCTAAAATATATTTCACATAATATATATTATTTATGGATTTATACGAATGATATTATATACATAGAGTTGTAAAAAAATTTGACTTGCATAAGACATTTTTTTATAATTCTACAAATATCTAACTCTAGGTCCTATATGGATAAATATTTTTTTATTCTGAGCTCGCGTAAATATTTTGTTAATGTGATTGTGAATAACCTTAAAAATAAATATAAATATATTTTTTATACGGGAAGTATAAAATATATATTTATAAAAAATATTTATCATTTTGTAACTAGCTTTTGTATATAGCCAATTTAAAAAAAATATATACCAGAAACTTGACGTAGACTTGACGGCACCAATCAGTAAACTTGGGTCTACATATTCTTATATGTCTATAATATACATCTCAGGGTAATTCACACAGCGTCATCTAGTCCCAAGCTAAGCAGAACTTGTGTTGTGGGTACTGGGTATGGACAACTTATATATATTCAGTTTTTTTTTGATAATACATACATATTATATATAGAAAACACCCGCAAAGATACAAACAATCATACTCATGAATACAAATTTTTGTACTGTGCGAAGAATCGAATTCGCGACCATTGGAACTAAGGCGGTGTATTAAACCGCTAGACAACCGAGACCGTTATATATGTATATAAATATTAAATCATGTATTTCGAAGTTACACGAAGTTACAGGCGGGGCCGATAAACTTTAGTTTCCGAGATCACGCGACGAAGAGAAACCCCGGAAACGACTACCCATCACAGTTGCGATGCATCGCGTTACTCAAATACAAATGTTTTGAAATATTTCACAATGTACTGAAATGTAAATAAATATATATATTGCGTGTTACATTTATATTCATGAGTATGATTGTTTGGTTTGGGTGTTTAATATGTATATTATAACTTCGTTTGCATCACACTTATTTGACAGTTATCATTATATTTCTCCCAATTTACATAATATCATTTTAAATTATAGCCAATGTGTTATTCTGATGTATAAGCTATATTTCTGTAAAGTTTCATAAAAATCCTCTAAGTAGTTTTTGCGTGAAAGAATAACAAACCATCCAAAAAAAGTAAAAATCATCTCTACTTCATCTATACACGGCAAGATTCTTGCTCGGTTACCGAGCTATAATATTCTTCCACTCGAATATAAAAATATGATATTCTAAAGTTTATTAGAATAAATCAAATCAAATCAAAATATCTTTATTCACGTAGATCTATTAGAAACTCATGATATGTCAACTCTAACGCCAGTTTGGAGTACTTTCGATCTAAGAAGAACTGACAAGAAACTCGGCTCTTATTATTTTCAAATGAGCTTGCGCATGTTTACAAAAATACAGATTTATTTTAAATTCAAATTACGGAGAATAGAGTGACACCGGTATATGTTATTGCATTTTTGTCAAAAGGAAATACTCTAATCAGTGACCGTAAGCCAAATGGAAATAGTTCCCATAAGCAGCACCCGTAATGAAGATTATTTGTATTTCTTTTTAATAATTAGACACATGGAAACTGAAGAAATACATTTTTTTTAACTTTCGTGTTTAATATGCATTATTTATATTATTAAGCGGGTCTTAAAAAAGCTGTTGGCACCTACATTGACATTGCTGTTACTCCAGTGAGCTCGTGACCACGGCTAGTGTAACCTAGTCGAAACTAGGATGGATAGAAATAGAGGATAATAAGGAAATACTAATATTTTAATAAGACCCGGTTAATTATATAAATAATGAAGAAATACATATTAAAAGAAATAATTCTTAGTTTACATGTTCGTGTCACCGGACCAACATGAACATACTCCACGTCTCGAAGATTTCTTCTGGACGGGCTCGGGGGATGGTCCGCCGCCGCCCCCAGACCTGCCACTGCCAACTCCGCCACAACCCGCCACGCCACTCATTCGTACTACAACTGTACTCGCTACAGTGTATTTGGACTCATATCCGCCACAGGTAAGAAATTGAAAATGGTATGAAGATGCCTCTAGTCTGGAAATGGGAACAACTTATCAGGGACCCGTAGGTTAGATCATTAATTGGTCACAAGGATTTTCGAATAAATCAAATGAAGCGCGAATTAGAATTTAATATAGGTAAGCATTATTTCAACAATTAAAAAAATAACTTTATTTGTACAACATAACATGTAAAAACAAACGCCTGTGTCTGCTATAACGACTATCTCCGACGTCAAGTGGAGTATAGTAGTTTTTCCATACCCAAAGATGTAGACGCTCAGACAGCCGCCATGGACTCATGGTTAAAGAAACTACTGATATAGTCAAATGCGTCTGTCAGTGTTCCTCAGTTTCACCCATTTCAACCACCTAATATGCCAAACTGCTTACTCTGTAATTTGTGTTGTTAGAAAAATGAGTTAAGGAAGAGAAATTACAGGATATGAAGCCGTAAAGTCCTCCGAAATGGCAAATTAGTGGTATCACGAGCGTCATATGGTAACGTGATGTTACCACCTGTGGTACTGTTCATGCATATTTTTCTCTCTTTCTCCTGTAAGTAATATACTCACGCTCATACACACAACACACACATTAATTAGATATTGGGAAACACGTTCTGGTATTTATTGCATGTATATATAATTGTAAAATAATTCACCACAAAATAATTAACCTAATTGTAAAATAGTCAATTGAAGTGTACATATACTGCATATTTTTGGTATCCGCGCTCCCAGCCCCCAAGATACAGGCCTGACCTAGTTTGGGGACTACAGATAATAGAAATATATAAAAATTGTATTGTATTGTAAACATGTAAATGTAAATCTATGTAAATGTTAATCTATGTAAATAAATAAATAAATTAATTAATATAGGCGATGGTTCCCGCTAGGAGGAAGGGGATTGTTAGTAATGTGAACTATTGACTCCACTACTATATACTAGCTATATAACATGTCAGGTTGTCCTTCACGCGGTTCCCCCTAGTTACCATCCTGATAAATTCCTGGTGAATTTATCACGATGGACTAACTGCCCTAACCTCATGCTTATCAACCCTCCACTGGTGAAACAGCGTAAACTTTTAACACAAGGGGGTACACCATTCCATTATCATCCATAAGATCTTACCATCAAATAGGACGTCATCTAATTTGCGATGGCTGTAACATAAAAGAAAACTAAGTCAACGATTCAAGATTGTTTATATTTTGGCTGTCAGGTACAAATAACAGTACCTAAACTACACGAATAACCGTTCAAATGAATTAATAAAATTTATAGTCATTTAAATCCCATAAAAGTTCGTTTATTACGTACGAGCTACGGTCGTATATTTACTCTATCTTTTGGGTCGCATACAGTTCGAGTATTCATATAATACCAGCGACATTGACCTGCTTTGCTTCTTTTCATAAAATGTCGATAATGGATTTAAGTAATATTGGTAAAAAAGATTGTCGAACATGTTTTTATGATGGTACTTTTCTATAATTTCATTAATCACACTTTTTAATATGATTAAATGCAAATCAATATTATTTTTTTATAGTAATAACTTGAGTAGGTACCCAATGACGGAATTTGGCAACTGTCGCCTATAATACATATATGTGTATAACTAGCTGTTCTCACGACTTCGTCCGCGTAGAATGAAAGTGGAATTTAACTTTATTTTTCTAAAATAAAAGTGGCCTATGTTACTCCTTATTACATCAACTACCTGCTAAAAAAAGGTCCGCCAAAATAGGTCCAACCATTTCAGAGATTAGCCGGTACAAACAGACAGACAGACAAAAATTGTAAAAAATGTTATTTTGGTGTATTTATATTGGTGTACGTATTTATATTCATATGTATGTAGTAAAAAACGGTTATTTCAATATTACAAACAGATACTCCAATTTTATTTATATGTATGTGTATGTATATCGCCTATAATACATATATGTAATATGTAATATAACATATTACATATATGTCACAGTGCCCTGCCAGCGTACAATGGTCAGCGCTAGTGGGTGCACCAATCCATTATCATACATAAAAAAAATCACTTCCTAAGTACTTTATAGGCGGTGACCGATAAAACCACTGGTGAATGTGTACTCAACTGCGGAGAAGCAGTTCCTGACAGTTTGGAGCCAGAGATACCGGAAGACCGCCGGTATTGGTTGCTCACCGTCATCCAGGGTTCCACACCAGACAGCCTCCAATTAAAACTCGCCAGATTATATCAGAAAGCATTTTTAAGGTAACTTAATTATTATACGCCTTGATAGATTTTTTGTGTTGCCATTAAACGGTAAACAAGCTGACGATCTACCTGATGGTAATTGGTCGTCGTTTAAATACATTAACGTATGTCACATTATCATGTGTTGCCTGTGATACCACTCATACGTTGCTTTTCCAGAAGTCTTTATCTGTCATATTCTGTAATTTCACTGCCTAATTGCTCTTGGTCCTGCTTTACCTAGTCCTAGGATTCATGAACAATGGTTTCCTAACTTCCTTTTTACCATTTCAACTTAAGAGCCACGAAACAATGAAGTGAAATAACTTGTAGCTTCGAATTTCTACGATTTTATAATGCCATAAAATTATTTTAAACATGGACTATTATTAGTTAATAGGAATAGTAGCTGAGGACTCATAGAAAACAGAACTCTTAGACAATTAATTTGACGTTAGATACAATTTAATTTTGAATCCAAACTCAACAGAGATTTCAAATTACTGTGAAGCAATCAAGTACCTACTATTGATCTCACTGATTTTCTTTTTTAATTTGAAATTATTACCTAGGTACATAGAGGAATACATAAGAATAATACTTTAAAACATCTTACTTTATTAAGTTTCTAATAATATTTCAGACAGCAAGAACGCCATCTCGGCATTATCAAATCATTAGACGCACCAGCTGGTAGAAAGAAACATGATGTCCACTCTTTCGTTGTAAATAAAGACAATAATAATCAAATAAATTCCATCAATTCAGAAATGCCTTTCAAATATTATGATATACAGAGCTCTATAGTTAATATGGAATCCGTTACAAATGGGTTAGCTTCTGAAAGCTCAGTTACACCATCTTCTGATGTTTTATCAAATTCTTCAAGCATATTATCATTAAATTCAGAAAATGTTGAAGTCTTTTCTAATAGCAATATTAAAAACGCATCCTCAAAGTCAGAAATAAAAGCTACTACAATAAACGAAGTGGAATCATGGATATTAGTGACTCCAACTAATGTTGTAAAAAAAAGAGAAGTGTCAGATCGGGAAGAAGTGGAATATGAGAAAGAAGAGTTGATAGATATTCCATTAGAAGAAGATTCAGAGAATGGCACGATGCTATTCAAGAGGGAGATTATAAAGCCTGAGCAACAGCCACCAGTACAAGTGCACATTCAAAATATTACTGAGGTACGATAGAAAATTAATACTTTTTATTAATATAGTTAAACGGTTTTTAAGACGAATAATTTTATGATAAATGAAGGTATCTATCTCTCTCGACGACAGTCAGCTCGTGACCACGGCGGTAAATTTATTCTGTGACTTTCTCCATAGCAACAACAATTTCAATCCAAACCTTACAAAGTTTATTGAATCAATGCTTAATTAGCATATCAAAGTGCGGAACCAGTGTAATTTAGACGTGTGTAATTGAATTTAAGCCCTTAGTATATTATGTATTTACAAATGTAAATATATTATATTTATGTATAATAATAATGTAGTAGAAGTAGATGAGATAATAAGATATAAGTTATATTTTGTTTACTAGTGTTCACCCAGCGGGTGGAATTTTTTATTTGAAACGTTCATATTCAAAATTTCGACCGCTGGGCGACCACCATATGTATGCACGGCTTACAAACTGAGCTGCTAGAAACTTTTTATTTTGAAATCAGTGACAATGGGACTTTTTAACTGTCTCCACTACTTCTCCTATGTTAATATGAATGACACATAGGCCATAATTTAAAAGATATTAGTCAAATTGGGCGAAATATAGGATAAATGTGAAGTAGGTGTGATGCAGACGAAGTTGCGTGGGTCAGCTTGTGCTAGCTAATAAGATAATTTTAAATTACTTGCCACAGTCAGCGGAGTCCGGAAGCGTGCAGATAGTGTACGTGGTACTGGTGGGTGGAAGGGCAGTCCCGGCAGCAGTGGCAGCCAGAGACATGAGGCTAGTCAGGGATGCTGAAGTGGCACATGAGCTGGGTGCCGTCGTCACCACCAAGGCTGAGCGTGAGTTTTTTTTATAATAATAATATATGGTTGCTAACTATTGGCCTCATGAATACGCTCAGAGTCACTTAGAGGGCAATGGAGATGGCTATGCTTGGAGTTTCTCTGTGTGATCGTATCAGAAAAGAGGGCAGATCGTCGTGGAGAAGAACCAAATGATAATGATGAATAATATATACCCTAAACATCTTCTGTATACTGCCAAAAAATGCTGAAGTAATTGGTAATGGGTTACTCATAGCACTATTTGTATTATTATACTATTTGTACCATTTGTAAAAACATAACATTATCATGTACTTGACTTAGGCCAGTACTACATACATTATTATAAAATCAATTATAATAAAATGGTAGTACATATTAAACCGAAACATTTTTTGTGACGAGTTACTCACTTGTCAGTGTCTTGTTAAAACATGCAACACTAACGTTTACATTAAAATTTGACTGAATATTAAAAATAAGGTTTTGATATTATGTTATCAGAATGCTATAATTCTTTATAGATTATTACGGAGGCGTAGAGGCAGCCTGCGCGTATGTGGAAATCGTGAAGACATGATGTTACTAGACCCTAGCTTACTAAAATACCTATAGATTCGAATTTTTCTATAACTTTTGCCAGCAGCGTACCTGAAGGCAGCCGAAGGTCTCGAGGGTGAAGCCAGTCCTGCAGGAGTGCACGGCACCGAACTTTGGGCGCTGGCTATTGGTGCCACCGTAGCAGTACTTCTACTGCTGGTCATCATTGTACTGCTATGTATTGCTCACAGGTAAGACTTTGAGAACTTCGTACCCTAATGGCCTAACACTGATTTCGGAAAACGGAAGATCATCAGTTTGAGTCTGAGAGTAATAAAGATCTATTTCATAATAATTATTGGATACTGCGCATAGAGAAAATACAAAGAGAAAACAATATTTTGGATCATATATTGACGGGAGTCTAGAGCACACTGCTTTAATATCGAAAGGAAGTACCCAGACTTATGGAAATATTCATACTCATGATTACTAATGTTTGCATTCAAGCAAGGAATCGAATCCGCGACCATCATAAGCAAGCTGAACTAAACGGCTAGATCACAGAGCCAGTCAATTTAAAATATTAGTGTAATTTTGTGTTTATTTTCAGGAAAAAATCAATAAAATCAGCGGCCTCCCTGCGTGCGTATAGAAATGAATTGTTGAGAGAAGCTGAGCGAAACCAACTGAAGCAAGTCCATGAAGAAAAGGATGGCAGGGTTAGTCGAATTTGATCTTTATTTTGCATTAATTTAGGATTTAACTTGCATGCTGACTCGCGCAATTTCCTCTGCGTAATACATTACCCGTTTTTACAACGTTTTTGCAAATTGTAGATCATAACATTTCTCAAAAAATTGGCTATCTAACAGAAGAATAATTCTTCGATTCGAACCAGTAGTTCAGGAGATCAGCACTTTCAACCGAACAAACTCTTTAGCCCCATAATAGTTACTCAACCAGAGATTAAAGTGCTTAAATTATTGTGAATGATAGTATAATAAGCTTAACATGTTATGTAGGTGGTCGTCCTCGGTAAATAGGCTATCCAACATTAAAATTATTTACAAAATGGACGGCTCTTCAATTTTATTTATTTGTATAGACCAATGATGAGAAACATGCAGCCCGCGAGCCGCGAGCGGCCCGCCAAGCGTTCCTATAATTGAATAAATTTTTTCGATCTTCACCCATCAATATATCGTTAAAATTAATTATAATAAATAGTAGTAGGTACATACGAATCCGAATTAATTTTTCCTGACGAGTCTGAGTAACTCACTTATCGGTGACTTGTTCAATGTTCACACATGTAATACGAACGCGCCGCTTCTGCGTACCATTTTATTTTCCAAAAAAATCTTTACTGTTTTTTTAATTTTATATTTTTTCATTGTAATGTTTATTATAAATAAAGTTTCAATATGTGCGTCCGCCAAAATATTTAAAAATTGAAATTGGGCCGTCCATGAAATAGTTCTCTCAGCCCTGGTATGGATCTTTGAAAAACACATTGCATGCATATATATAGCACTCTTTCTGAGACTACACTCATTATATTATTGTTCTTATAAATAACTAATTTATGTTACTTTTTTTATTTATTGCAGCTGATCAGCGTCGTATCACCGAGTAGGACCAGACCGAGCAGTAGTACTTTATTACCTATATATAGAGCAGCCAGTGCTTCCAGGTATTTAAATATATTTTTCTATCCTCAAATATTAAAACATTTATTTAAAAACAGAAACAAAGTTTAGTGAAAAACTGTTAATAAGAAATTACAAAAAGACACTTCAATTTTGTTTATTTGTATAGGTTCAGAAGAATATAAAATTAACTAATTATTGTTACTTTGAAGTACAAGTTCATCAGGCGTGTCCGAAGTGGCAGCCGCAGTACGAAGGCGACAGAAGAAGCCCCACGCGCTCAGAATGCCGCAGAAGAAGAGAGGTTTGGATATATTATAATATCAGATAAGAATTAAAAGTATACAGAAACACTCATTTACATATATTTTTTATCTGTATTGTTTGAAAAACTAAACCCAAAATCCAGGGGTATTATTATTACTAAACAAAATCAAACACCGTAAATTGCTGCACCTACCTGAGTCACATAATGCGGAATAAATAATACAATCTTCTGCAATTAATCATACAGGAAAAAATCCAAGGCTACCGAAGACCAGGCAGACCAGGCGCCGTACTTCGTGATTGAAAAACCTCACACAGTGGTTTAGGATGAGCACCAAGTCCCTTTTAGGACTGCCATGGACAAAATAAAGATCGCCATAATCTCCAATAGGAGATGGCACCTACAGAACAAGATTATTATAACTATTTGTGTTATTTTCAGTGGGTACCACAGATAGTCTTCTGGAGGCAGCCGGTGTGGACAGTTCGGACAGTGGACAGCCGTCCGTACCACACACACCCACCTCATATCTTTCTATGCCGTCTGTCAACTCGTTCCCAAGGTGATTAGGTTTCCGTACTTATGGTTTCACACATGCTAATGGCAGCGAAATTAAACAAAATAATATAAATCCTATAAGTTATAAAAATAACTTTCATATTTTATTCAGAGGGAACATAGTAGAACCACTATCAAGGATCTTGGAGCCAGTATCGGTACGACATTTGGATGTAGACTCACCAGTCATCAGTCCTAAGTCCAAAGAGAAGGGACAAGATAGATCCAAGAACGTGGTACCTCGCAGACAGATGGCCTCACAGCTGGTCAGGTTGGGCAGTATCGACAAGGATCCAGGCGTCATCGGGCCGCTGGTCTGGGATCTACACTGCCAAAGAATTAAAGATGGTGAGTAGTTTTTTATACGTACTAATTAGGAAAAGTTACGGGATCTTACCACTCTTTAATTATTTTTATAGGGTTTCCGATATTTCGGCAGTATTTCCACCGCCATGATCATAGGTAAACTGAAGAGCAGCGGGTGTTATACGTACAATTAGTAAAAATCAAGGGACTCTTACCTTTGTATTGAGTTCCCGATATTTGGGCAGTGTTTTAACCGCCGTGGTCACAGGTAAACTAAAGTGCAGTGGGTCGATGTTAAATAAAATCATCGTGGAAAAATTATATTCCCAGCATCGAAACCATCAAGTCCAGCCAGGTCGACTGCCGATGCGGGTGATGATGGTCGCAGGGCTGCCGGTGCCGGTGCTGGTAGAATGCGGCGAAGGTTCAACGAGCTGATGGATGATGCATTCACGCTTTTCGGTAGCGCTGCATCCAGTCCCAACTCACACCGTACCTTCACGGTGGACGCGGAGAAAGGGAGAGACAGGAAACATGGTAATAATAATATATATACATATAATAACAGTATCTCAATATAATTCCCACAGACATACATAAATACATACGTCGTATATCGTCGCTTCCACAAAGCCTAAAAACAAAGATGCGTTAACAACAAACAAACAATAATCAGTGCGTTCTACCTGTTATGAGAAAAGTGTCGAAAGGTGGACACTGACGATATGACTGGTCCACCAATTCAAAATCGCTCAACAGGCTCTAGAGGGATAAAATCTGAAACGATGTAATTCGCCAGAGAACTAAGGTCACCGACATAGCTCTTCGTATATATAAGTTGAAGTGGCAATGGGCTGGTCATATCTCTCGCAGAAACGATGCTCGCTGGAATAGGCGTATTCTAAAGTGGAGACAGCAAATTGGCAAACGTAGTGTAGCACGCCCGGCAGCTAGATGGAGCGACGAAATACGTAGGGTTGCGGGTAACTGAAAGAGAAGGGCTGAAGATCGTGCCTATCGGTGTGCCTTGAGAGAGGCCTATGTCTAGCAGTGCAGTGGGCTGATGATGATGATGATGAAATACATACATAATGTACATATAAAACTCCCAGACCATTACAAACTATCATACTTATGAATACAAATGTTTGCACCGTGCGAGGACATGAACCTGCGACCATACGAAGTCCGTAGTAGAATAAACCTTCTAAGGGGAGGAGGTTGTTAGTTGTTATGACTCACACAATTATAATAACTAACAACCTCCTAGATACAGATATTAGATATTCCTAATATTTAGTAGAACACAAATCTATAATATATAAAGCTGCATTACGGTGACTCACTCACTGATTGACATAGTTGTTCTCCCAGAAGGAGCGTCCGGGGGTCGAGACGATGTATGGGGGAAATGTTCCTTTGGCTAGGGTGACCACGAGAAAATTCCGAAATTTGGGAAAATCCAAGATGGCGGACAAAGATGGCGGCTAACTTTTACAGTTTCGCTCGGATCGATTCCGTTCAAAGAGTGATTTGGCACGTCTCGGCGGGACCCAGAATATGGCGTAAAAACAAAAAATTAAAATCCAAGATGGCGGCGAAAAAATTGCCAAAAACTGGTTGAAAATTTTCTAGGGTTTCAAAAACCGAAATTCCCAGGGTAGTTGCGGGGGTGCTGGCGACACCGGTTGTAGGGCATAGGAAACTCGAAGGACCCGACCTCTAGGGAAAATTATGAAATTTCGAAAATCCAAGATGGCCGACGAGTTGGGGGCGTGTGAATTTGGTCCTAAAAATCCGGATTATTTTCAAAATCATTTTTTAGGTACAGGGCAACCCCGCAGCGAGTCGGCTTCTATGGGGCGATGATGGGTCTCGGTAAGAAGTATTGCCAGCGATAAAAAGAATTTCCGAATTTAGGGTAATTTGGGAGAAATGTCCCAAAAAGTGGGAAAAAATTTTTTCGGCATTTTTGACAAAAGAGGCATCAAGGCCTATCGAGAAACATCCCCTAAAGGGTTTTAGGTGGGTTTTGTTGGAATTTGCTGGCAACACCCATACATGGTTTGACCAAAATAGAAATTGGGGTGTCTCTCCAAAAACTGAAATTCCTAGGGTACTTGCGGGGGAGCTACCGATCCCTATTATAGGGCATTGGGAGGCTGAAAGACCCGGCCTCTAGGGAAAATTATGAAATTTCAAAAATCCAAGATGGCGACCAAGCTATGGGAGATTTAGTTTTTGGAAAAAATTTGGGATATTTTCAATCGAGTTTTTGCTGCACATGGCAACCCTGCAGCTAAACGCCACCTACTGACATGGGTAAGTCTGAGTAAGAAGATTTGCCAGGTCTAAAATTTTTCCCCGATTTTGGGTTAATTTTGGAAAAAAGTCCCATAAAGTGGGAATTTTTTTTTTTGACATTTTAAATGAAGAACTCGTTTTGGTCTACTACAAATCGTCCCCTGAAGGGTTTTAGGTGGATTTCTTCAGAATTTGCTGGCAACACCCATACATCATCGGACAAATTTTGAAATTGAGGTCTAGCTTCAAAAACTGAAATTGATAGGGTACCTACGAGTACGCTAGCTCAACGCACTGTACGGCGTCGGATAGCCGAAGGACTCGGCCTCTAGGGAAAATTATGAAATTTTAGAAATCCAAGATGGCGGCAGAGATAGGGGAGTTTTGCTTTTCGGAGAAAAATTGGGATATTTTTAAATGTAGTTTTAGGACACTTGGCAACCCCACAGCCAGTCGACTACTATGGAGAGATGATGTGTCTCAACACAAAGTATTACCTGGTATAAAAATTTTCCCCGATTTTAGGGTAATTTTTGAGATAGGTCCTAAAAAGTGGGAAAATTTTTTTTTGGACATTTCAAACAAAAGAATGATGAAAATCTGTCAAAAACAATCCCCCTATTGAGTTTAGGTGTTTTTTGTCAGAATTATCTGGCAACACCTTACATCAGTTTTCTTAGAGAATAGAACTAGAAGGAGTCGCTGAGGCTCTATACAATGTATGAACGAAATGTTTCTGTCACTAGGGTGAATATGTCAAAAGTATTAAAAAGTAAAAATCTAAGATGGCGGCCGAGTTAGGGTACTTAATTTATGTTGACAATTTTAGGGACTTTTTAAAATTCAATTTTGGGGTACAATTAATCCCTGACGCGAGTTGACTTCTATAGAGCTGGAAACTCTCGGTGGAAAATTTTACCTGGTCTAAAAATTTTCCCCGATTTTGGGGTAATTTCGGAGAAAAGTAAAAAAACGTGGGAATTTTTTTTTTCGTTAATTTGAACAAAACAGTGATGAGCATTGGTTCAAAATCATCCCCCAAAGGATCCTAGGTGGTTTTTGTCAAAATCATCTGGCAGCACCATACATCGATTTTCATAGTAAACCGTACTAAGGAACTAGAGGTGTAACCTGGGCTCTGTACAATGTATATATGAAGTGTTTCTGTCACCAAAATGTATGTGTTAAAAGTATTTAAAAAGGAAAAATCCAAGATGGCGGCCGAATTAGGATACTTTATTTATTATGACAATTTTAAGGTCTTTTTAGTAAATTCAGTTTTGTGGCACCTATCAACCCTGCAGCGAACTGACTTCTATTGAGGAATGGAAACTCTCGGTGCGAAGTATTAACTAATTTTCATAGTAAACAGTACTAAGGAAGTACTAGAAGGAGTCACCTTACATCTGTACAATGTATGGACAAAATGTTTCTGTCACCAAAGTGGATAAGTTAAAAGTATTTAAAAAGGAAAAATCCAAGGTGGCGGCCGAGTTTGAGTATTTTTTCTCTGATGATAAATTTACCTGGCTTCCCTGCAGCGAGTCGACCTTTATTGAGCCGTGGTAGATTTCGGTTCGAAATATTATCTAGGCTACAAATTTTTCCCGATTTTTGGGTAATTTTGCAAACCCAAAATGTGGGAAATTTTTATTCGACATTTTTAAACATAAAAGTGACGGGTATCTATAATAAATCTCATCTAAATAGTTTTATGCAATTTTTTGTTAAATTAGGTGGCAACACCATGCATAGATTTTCGTAGAAAGTAATATTTACTAAGGACCCACTAAAGGGACCGTGTCTCTGTACAATATATGGACGAAATATATCTGTCGTCATGTAATATATATGTCAGAAGTATCAAAATGGAAAAACCAAGATGGCCGCCAAGGTTAACTTTGAACAAAATTTGGAAGATTTTTTTATTTTGGTACATGGTAACCATGCAGCGAGTCCGCTTTTATGGGATGGCATTGAATCTCAGTATTGTCAGCCAATTGCCAATAATAACCCTAAGGCTTTTACCAAAATTATTTGGAAAACTTTACTATGAAAACCGATGTAAGTTGTTACAACGGTTTTCATAGTAAACTATTAGAAGGAGTTGACAATGTATGGACGAAATGTTTTTGTCACCCGGGTAGCTAAGCCAAAATAAAAAAAAATAAAAAGTAGAAATGGTATATAGAAAGGTAGGTTAGGTTAGGTTTTGTATTATGATCTCTACATTAGAAACTGTGAACCCAAATTAATATAGTATACAGAAAGGTAGGTAATGTGAGGTTTTGTATTGTGCCCATTGCAATAAAAATTAAAGCCACAGGTCGAAATGGTATATAGAAAGGTAGGTTAGGTTAGGTTTTGTATTGCGACTCTTACAGTAGAAATTGTGGCCTCAGGATAATATAGTAAACAAAAAGGTAGGTTAGGTTAGGTTTTGTATTGTGACTATTACAATACAAAGTTTCGCCACAGGATGGTACACGTGAAACAAAAATTCACTGTTACAATAGGAAGTCACCTAATCGTATCAAAACAGACAACTAACTCTACTTGCCAACCAAGTTTATTCGAAAAGAAAACCGTCTTCACAAAAAAAATCAACGACAACCCCTCGCGGGCCTCTTGATCTAGTTTAATTCATAAAATTAAACTGGATTGTACCTACTTTGCAGAAAGCGGAGGTAGAGAGGGTGGACGTCGCTCGCCGCTAGCTCAGGCGCGCAATGAGCTTGTGCGGTTGCCGGGGTCGCCCTACTCCGCACTTGCTACTGTACGCGGTCGCTCCGCGGACACCCATATGTAAGTATTAAAATTGTTGATTAAAATAGGATATGTAACAATGTTATCTTGCTTTTGTTGTCCAACCAGGTTTCTAGTTCTCGGCTATTTCACATAAGTTGGTTAATATACGTTACTAATTCGTTTTCTTATTAAGTATGTTATTTAAACGTTTATTTAATATGTAGGTTTATATTTTAAGTTTTAAGGCTCAATGGGCAATGCTTATATTTTAACGTTTACCATCAATGTTGCTTATCATATAAAAGAAATCTTAAAGAAACTTTACAAGCGGCGACATTGTTAAGAGCGCATTTAAGGGAGGCTATTCGAAAATGGACTCTTTATTAAAATAAGGAATGTATTTACTTTCTGTTTCATAGAGAATTTCCTAGTAATTTCTTTCTAAAACCTATTATTTAAGTTCCTTAAGTGAACAATTCAATTTTTTAATGTTATAATTTATGTATGTTACATTGGGCTTAATAATTATTATAGTAATAAATTATCTATGTTACATGGGGGATTGGGGGGTGGGGGGGGGGGGGATATAATCATCAAGACTAAGGCATGAGCACTGTAAAGTGTTTGTTTCCCATGGTACAGGGAGCACTACCAATATTACACATTCAGTTTTTTATATAGAAGACCCATATATATTCGTATACAGTAGAGAACCAGCGATGGGTACAGCAGGCCCGTCAGACGCCCGGCCTCGAACGTCGTCGACGAGGCCGACCACAGAGAGGAAGGCGCCCCCACCGGCGAGGGCCTGGGGACCCACCCCACCGCATGTAAGCAGTACACACTAGTAGTAATAATAATAGAATAATAATGTCCTTGCACAATCCACACAACGCCACCTAGACCCGAGCTGTACAGAGCTTGTACTATGGGTACTAGACAACTATATATAGATAGATATAGATTTTTTTGTATATCCATTATAAACATAGAAGATATTCAGACCGATACTATCATACTCATGAATACAAATTTTTGTACCGTGCGAGGAATTAAACCGGCGACGTAATAAAGCGATATGCTAAACCGCTAGAGTACCTAGTCCGAGCTATGACGTGCCGTCTCTTTATCCAAATTTATGTAAAGAAGTTATAGCTGTTGTTGGCCATATAAATTAAAATCGCTATTAAAATGGGTTGATAGTAGAAAGGTTAAATTTAAGGCTGTATGTTGAAATAAAAAAAAATGTTTGTATATATATATTTTTTATTTATGAATTGTTTCAATTATATTATTCACAACACTATAATGTGCAGTCGTTAACGTCTCGCCTGCCGCCAGCTCCGGCAGTGAACACGGCCTTGATCCGAGCGGAAGGTGCCCTGCCAGCGGACGACCCCGCGTTACCGCTCATATCAGCCATCAAAGATGAGATACAACGCATAAGGGACCATGCTAAACCTTCGTAACGAACTGATAATTCACTAGAATAACTATAGTTTTATAGCGATATCGTACAAAGTTATCTGCGTATATTTGTTTGTCTTACATGATCATCCTGTACATCAACATTTTTATTCACCCTCCTGAGCTAACGGTGTACGCTGGTGGGCACGAGTGGAGGATGACAGGGTGAGCACGAGGTCAGGTCAGTTAGCACATCATGGTAAATTCACCAGGAATTTATCACGATGGTTTTCAGTGGGAACCGCATAAAGGTCAACCTGACAATGTACCATACATTGCTAGTAATGACGTCCACCAGCTGTTTTCTCGTTTGAAGAGTGAAATACGCAGTGAAAATACGTGGGAAGTCCTTCACTGAACACTGCGAACTGAATAAACACTTGGCGAAATAAGACCTCAGCTTAACATCAGTCTGCAAATTTGGCTATGCAGAAGAGGAAACGCCACTACACATCCTATGTGGTTGTACTCAATCCAGAGAAGATAAAAACGATCGCTCCAAAGAATATCCTTCAATTCCTCTCCCTCACGGTTAGATAGTGAACTTTGAATAAGGGTGAGCACAATAGATCTATACAGGTCGCAGTGTTACAGGTTTTAGCACCTGACCATAACTAAACCTGCCCAAACCCCCCAATAAAAAATAAGTCGTCCAGAGTGGCAGTGAGAGAAAAAATTTCAATGGCACAAGTACTTAACATTTTTTTAAACTAAATAATTCTAGTATAAATAGTTAAAAGGTATACATCTATACGTATCTAAGTTGCTGTAGGTAAATAATAAAAATAGACCAATCATAATGAAAACTCATAATAATATGTAATTGTTTGTAAATTACTGTTTATGACATTATTGAACCTGTTATGTACAGCTTTATTTATGAAAAATTATTATACATAATACAGGAGATTTCGAAAACCAAGTCATTCCATTGTTTTAATGGAATAGTACCTTATAAGAAAACATTTAAAAATTCTTTTTCGATATTATATACAACGGTGGATAATTGATATAAATTAGGTTTTAAGATGAAGTGCAATTTTATAGTTTTAAGTAATAGTTTATGATAATATTTTGCAATAATATGGTAATCTGATTGTTACTTTATATTTTTTATTAAATATATTTGTTATAAATCAAGTACATATATATTACATTTATAATTTTTATATTCTGTTCTGATTTCTATAATTTAGAACTTATACATGTTCCCAAACTATATAAATTCAAACACTCAAGAAACTGTAATTTTTACAGTATTTTCCGTCCATTTTAAACTTAAGTCTTTAATTAAGATACACATAAATTAAATAAGATAGTAATAATGAATTGTTTTACAAACAACGGTACTCTCAGCTATGAGTAAGCTAAGTACGTAGTAATACTAAGCAAAGTATGCAAAAAATAAATAGGTTATACTAAAAAAGAACAGTCCCGACCTGTTATATCTACCCCAAAAAATATCAATGTGGAATGTGGGAAATAAATAAATAACATCCAATATTTTAGGTAAACTGTTCATAATTTAAAATATTCATGTTATATCGGTTTAGTTAATTAAAAAAATGTTGTAGTTTTCGAATCTTCTAGAAGTTGTAACTTATCTACAACATAGCTGGCAGTTGGCCTTCAGTCGCTCCATAAGTCCTTCCACGGGTTTCGAGTGCTCTAGCACTCGCCACATTTTTTTCGTCCGCTGTTAAAGTCAGTTACGGCCAATAAAATTAGAATTGTTCGAAAAAAAGCCATAATATTCTGGACTAAAAGAGATACGCTTTATGAGATGAGAGGGTACCGTATTATTAAATCAATAGACATCAATGAAACTCGATGCCAACACTTACATTGTAAGCAAGCTAATATAACTGAATAATTCTTTTTGAAATTTGTTTATAACACCTTTTTAATAAAATTGTTTTATAAATATACATCTTTTATTCAAACCTTTCAAGAAAACAACCAAATTCTGTGCAGTTATGTTTATTTTGTACTTACACAGTTGTAATATAAAAGTTCTACAGTAACTCTACTCAGTCCTAATTTTAATACAATCGGTATTTACATTTTTTATATTCCTCCGTACCTGAGCGGCTGAGCTTCGCTCGATTTTTTAGAACGCTTTATTTCAGGGAAGACGCTTATATACCTCAGACTTGAAAAGCAAAATTATTTCGAAAGATTTCGGACAGTGTGTGTCTATGTCTATATATACAAAACTTACTCCAATTATATAATTAGAGAAGTGTATTATATCTGAACCTGATTTTCCTTTGGTTAAAACTTAAAAGAATAAAGTCACAACTGTAATACCAGTTAGTGTACTCTTGAATCTAATTTTAATAACGATTTCATGTCAATACAATTTTGACTCATTGTTTTGAAACATACTTCTTTCATTGACCATGAATATATATGGATACTGTCATCTATCTTATATGGATACTGTCGTCTATCTTATATATAAAATTCTCGTGTCACAATATTAGTTACCATACTCCTCCGAAATGGCTTGGCCGATTATTATGAAATTTTATAAGCATATTCAATAGGTCTGAGAATAAGCTACGAACTATTTTTCATACCCCTTAAGTGGCAAAAAAACGTTAAGGGTGGACACCACACCACATCCACCCCTCACATTTAAAAAATAATACTTTGACAGTATACAATACGAGAGTATAAGAAAGTTCAAAAAGACAATCCAATAGCAGTCGATCGGAATTGGTTTCAAGAGTACACCCGGCTTGAGTGTTTTTCTTTCATTGTTAACTATTATGAACTGTTCAACTGATCATTTGACTTATTACAATACTAATGTGATGATCTAACAAATATAAAAATACCTAATTATTATTTAAAACACATTTAGTTAGCTTAAAAGACACTCTGGAGTGTTACAGTACATAAACACCTTTGATTTTTTTATAAATGATACAGTAAGTACATGTTAATTATAGGTTCAAAATGAACATTACAAATTGAAAAATTGACTGTATCAGCATCTTTGTTATACATACATATGCTAGTATATACCATATATTATTTTTACAATGAGTGAATTAGTATATATTCATCATAATATTCATAATATTCATCCTGTCCTCACTCACCTCATTTACAAAAAAGCTAGTGAATACCAACCTCTCAGAAAATGAGTTGGTACCATTAGACAGCCCACTCTACCATCGCGTGGCCTCGAGAGTCAAATAAAAAGGGCGTCTTTCCCCGATTTCTTGCTAAATCACATACAAATTGCAAGAAATCGAGACGACAGATATTACATATCAAAAACCATGTATGATCTCATTTTCAAAATGGAAATTATTCTAAACATAATTGGATATAAACTTATTTTAATTGAAAAATTCAATATTAACAACTATGCAAATAAAAAAAGACAACAATAATTTAAACAACTTTAAAACTATGTTTCATTGTATATAGTACTAAAAAATTGCAACTCCGTCCTTATAATAATTTAGTTGTGTCTGTCATAATAGACGAAAGGGGCCTACCATCATCTTAGTTATTTCTTGTAAACATTATCAATCAACGTGCAAAAAAAGTTATATCTAACAAAAGCTTTTCTAGCTTCAGTAAGATTCATAAGACTGGCCAGCAGAACATAAATAACACTTTGGTACATAAAAGCAATATTTAGGTCCGCCGCATATTATCATAAATGTTCTGTTGTACATAACTTACTAAGTCAATTATATACACTTTATTACACATCACTTAGAACAAAATATGAACAAATATGAATAAATTCATACCAATTTTTATATTAATTTATTCATAACTTTAACTTATTTCCAATCAATTCGCTGTGTACTATTAAGTTCCCATTCTCATAAACACACCTTTAGGGCAGTACAACAAATGTACTAGCTTATAAATATGAACTCCTAATTCCATGAGTTACTTTCATAAACTCAAAAGAGTCAGGCTTGCACTATATACAATATATTTAAACCAAGAGATCATAAACTCTCAAGATTAATATCAATTTCTTCTATTTATTTATTCTATCCATTTCGCGCGCATATTCTAGTAAAGTGTCTGAAGCCTTGTCCAATGTTACCAGCCACCAAATTTAGCCAAATCAATGCATTTGATTTGGCCCAATTTGGCATATCACTACATATATGTATATCAGAACATTTCTAATTGTATATGGACGGCCTAACTGCTAATTTCTATTTCAAGGTCATATACAGATTAGTGACACATCTTACACTTGTCTAGTCGGAGATCACAGATGATATGGACATCCACATTTCACTGAACATCACAACTCAGTCACATTTACACTTGTTTCATTTGTATCTGCTACGTGGACTGGAGTGGTTGATGTGGAGCAAGTCTCCGCCATTGGTTCGGTTGCCTTTCTGGGGTATCCTCATCCTGTAAGATAATTTATTCATTATGTTATTGTGGTATCTCATAAGAACTAAGTTACTATATTTTTTTCATATGGTTTCAAGCCCACGGTAATTGTTTTTTTTAATGGATGATATTTATAATATGGTTCATCCATCTGCGCAAACGGTTTACGATAGCAGGGCACCAGTGGAGGATGATAAGATGAACATGAGGTCAGGTCAGTTACCCCATCGTTATAAATTTATCACTATGGTTTCCATCAAGGTCCAGCTGACATGGTACAGCAACAGAAATGTCATCAGACCACTACTACATATATACTTACTAACAATTCCCTTCAACAATAGAGTTGAGATAAGAAATATAGTAATGAAGGTAAATAATAGGGTTAACAAAGGAATAATCCAAGACCATTCACACAGTGCCATTTAGTCCCAAACTAAAAAGACCCTGTACTACAGATACTGGACAACTGATAGATAGAAAAAACATAATTTGCACACGAATAAATACAAATATCTGTATCACATGAGGAATTTATTGAAGCCCCTTCAATCAGTACTAAGGCAATGCTACAACGGTATACGACCGGGAGGTCTCAATGGAAAAACATTTATAAATATGTTGCAGTTTCCTGTTATGACAGCACCCTCTATAGTACAACTACTATGTACAGAAGGGCTCCTAGGTGGCGCTGTATGGTCCGGGTGACTAACACAAAGTTGTCTCCATTAAATGGATCAAGAAACACCCGTTGATGCCACAATATTTGCTCCTCATTTCAAATAATTAGGGTCGGCAATGCGCTCGTGACACCCCTGGTGTTCCAGGTGTCCATAGGCTATGGTAACCGTTTACCATCAGATGAGCCGTATGCTTGTTTGCCACCTACATAGTATAAAAAAAACTTACATGTATGATAGTGATGGACACTGTCTCTGGTTTCAAATCTTCCAATATTTTGATATCTGGGGAGAGACTTGAACCGTCCATATTGTTCCTGCATTAATAAAATACAATAAATAAATATAAAGGAAACAATATTATATATCGCTACAAGGAGTCTTCAAGAATACTAGCACTACTTATTTTTTTCTTTCTTTCTTTAATTCTTTCTTACTTCTAGTACTAGTAGTCTTGAAGACTCCATCAATCGTCATAAATTATGGTTAAACATGTTCACGCACATTTTTTTTGTGTTAAGTAGACGAAATTGACTAAACTAACAATAGTATAACTTTTACTATACTTACTTTCGACTTCCGGAATGAAATCTGCCTCCTTCACCGCGTATTCTGTTCATAGCGTGTCTGTGTCTTGACTCGTGTAAGTATTTCTGTAACATAAAGATAACAAATCTGTTATGTGTATTAATAATAATATTTTAGGGCAATCCACACAACGCCATCTAACTAAGCAGAGCTTGTGTACTGGAGACACGAATTTTATTATAAATTTGTATCGCCATATGGAAGATATTATTTTTGACCATACTTAATTTTGTTCCATGTATGTACAATATAGTTTTTGGTTCAAATGAATAAACTCTAAAAATACTAAACAGATTTTTACATTACTTTTCAGATAGCATATTGCTATCTGAAAAGTAAGCACCATGCATGTATGTCCTATTTAAAAAAAATAGACATGTCTACAAATTATGGAACATACCGGTCTCTCTTTAGGTATCTTGCCCTGTTCATGTAGCTTGGCTCTGGCGGCTCGTCGCTTCAGTATCCTCTTGTACTGTCGCGCGTTCACATATAGGAGGGGTTCTTCATCAGAGCCAGCTGCGGACGAACTCGCGCCCTCCGCGGCCGCAGCTGCATTATTGTTATTGTTACCGTTTACCATCTGTAAATACAAAAAAACGAATAAAACAAATGGAACAGTACAATTTCGGTACAGAATATGTGGTAATATTATTTGTAAAGTTTGCTATAGGACCCTACATAACAAAATATGATATAGTTTTGAAAATAACATCACTACCATCTTCCATGATAATTTGAGAATAAATAAAAAATTAAAACACTGATTATGTTATAAAAATTACATAGTTACTTACCATGAGGTGGCCCTAACTTATTTGCGATTATATTGCAAATTACTATAGGACTTAATATATGAAGAGTACTAATTAAATTAAAGATATATATACTATATATTACCATAACAATGTTTGGTTGATTGACAATTTGCTGTGGTTGTACTGTATTGCCTACACCAGCTACTTGCACCAGGTTTCCATTCAGATTAATAACTGTAAAAATTACATAAATAACCAATTAGAATATAACTAATATCTATGCATACAACAAAATTGTGAATTGTGAAAAAATACAATCTGTTTTAATTATATTTGTGTGTTAAGGTTTTGCTTGAAAACAACTGGAGACGGAGAATTACTAAAATGTTTTTTTTTTCAAATTCAAATGTATTTGTGTAAGTAGAGGAAAGAAAGGTCTTACAATAAATATTATGTTTCATACTCTTCTAAAATGATGTGTACAAATATGTGATTTAATTAGATTGTTTTTGCGTACACATAATATATATTTTAACAACATATTATGTGTACGCAGACTGAGAAAATTTCATATAAAATAGAAAGAGCAATGTCTGATATAAAATTTGATAAATAAATTATACAACTTGTACCAACCAGCTGGTTGATGGATAATCTGATGCTGATCTATAGCAGGCTGGGCACTGGCTGCTGGTTGGTATATGAATGTTTGACCGTCTGCTGTCTGCACCAGCTGCATTGGCTGTATATTGTTGCTGGCACCTGGAAGCAGTTATTGAATGATGAATACTTTAGCTATATGATGAATACTTGGATGAGTAATAGGGTTTCAATGGTAGCATATACAGTCAGTATAATCTAGGATGAGACTTGAGAATCAGCCATTGCATATGGGTTAATAATATTGTCTGAGAGGAACAGGATTGTTAGTAATGTGAACTAATAACTCCATTAATTGCAATGTAACATGTCAGGTCACCTCCACGCGATTCTCCCTGGAAACCATTGTCATACATTCCAGGTAAATGGGTGGTATGATGGGTTAACTGACCTGATCTCATAGTCATCCTATCAACCACCACTGGTGCCCCGCCAGGGCGTTAGCATAAGTCAGTCCAACATTTCATTCTCATCTATTACAAAAAAAATTGTTTTGTCCAGTCAATGTAAAAGAAAATATGAATTAATACTAGCTTAAGACAGCCATTTACAAATTTGTGGAGGATTATTTAATTATGTTTGCTGTAGAAGCTACATGAAATAAAAAACTATTATATTAATATTACTATAATTTACCCTGAAGGCTGGATATTGGCACAACTTGCAATTGTTGCAGCTGTTGACCATTAGGAGTTGCCACCTGGAAATAAACAGAACAAAATTAAAAGAAGCAAGATGTTTTCCACAATAATTGTGTAACAGTACTAGGTTCTCCAATATCTATTACTTGTTTTTACAAGACATTTTTACATTTTTACAATTTAAATATAGCATAGCTGGTGTAATCACCATTATGCAACATCATAGACATTAAGGTAACTAATGTAATGTAAGTTGTACTCTATTACCCACATTTGGCCTCTAATCTAGGCTGTTGTGTGATTTATGGTAACTATATATTATAAAGAATTCTGCAAGATTGATAACTGTTAAATTAGAAAATAGTAATAATACTACTACCTGGATCTGTGGAGTTCCAATCTGAATGCATGTGTAACAAAAATAATTAATAAATATAAGTGTAAACTGTGCTATGTATACCAGACGCAGCAGAGCTCATATTATAGTTATAAAAGAATGATGTATAGACATATTCTAATATATACCACCTACACCAATACAAATGGTGTTGATCTAGAGGTATAGCACACCACCTTACTTCCAATAATGCAGGTTCAATTCCTCATGTGATGCAAATATTTGTATTAATGAGTATGATTGTTTCAATTGGACTAGCAATCGACTTAACAACTATTTAAGTATTTCATTCTCTAGTACCCATAACATAATCTCTACTTAGCTTGTGATTAGATGGCACTGTGTGGATTGTCAAGGGTTATATCATTATTATATACTCATAAATATAAATGTTTTTATTACTTGAGAATATTACCTAAACCATTGGAAAATGTGGCAGACTGCTCAACTACTACACAACAAACATTGTTATATTAATACAATTATTACAAATTATAATTGACTAGTTAACCCATGCAACTTTATCACACACACAAAATTCTATCTAAATCTTTTCAGTAGTTTTTGCATGAAAAAGTAACAAACATCCATCCACACACACAAACTTTCACATTTATAATATAAGAAAAATGATTAATGAATGTCACCTGTATAGCTGGTCCCGAAGATGGTATTGCATGAACAACAATCTGTTGTCCATTCGGGCCTTGTATCACATGTGGCGAATTGTTCATTTGCAACACTTGTAATTGTTGGCCATTGATGGTCATCACCTGAGCACCATCGGTACTTTGGATCTGAGCATGCTCCATATTGAATCACTAGAAAGAAAATATGTAAAAGAAATTAAGTAATCGAATATTAAAAGTGTGTGGCCATTATAAAGTATGTATTTAAAATACATATATGTAAATATTACTCTGTACAACTTTGTTTTTATATCATAAGCATAGTGGTAGGGCATATTCTCCGTAATATAGTCTGTATACACAAAGTACATTTCAAAAAGACAATCATATTGTTTATCTTATAATAGAACCTGACTCTCAGTTGAACCAATTAAAAGAAATTGTTGTAGGTCAATCATCATGCTATTAACAAATTTTTAGGTTTGTAAAACTTAAGAGATTAAACTGTTCTGAACTGAACTTTCGCCTGACGTTATATTTTTTTATCTAATTGATATCAAATATTGTAGAGTATTATATTCCCTCTTCCATATGAATTACGTACTCTTTTTAAGTCATAAAACAAATATGTGGGATGCGGTATCTGTAGGTAGAGTTGGTACCCAAAGCTTTACAGCAAATTGCTTGATACTATGTTAAATTTAAACTAACAATTGGGAGTGAGTAAACTTACATATATTAAGTACCCAATTCTCATAATTTTATTTACATGTGCGCTATCTTTTCAAGATATGAAACACGTCACAAACGAAGGCCGAGAACGAAAGCAACGTAACCAAAATGGCTGCTTTGGTAATTTCAACATGCATGATAACATTTTTTCCATTTTTACGTACAATTTTATAAATATCCCGAATATACATATAAACAACAATCACAAAGGGAATTTCGGCGAAAATTGTAAACTTACATTGGAAGTCCTCACTGGTTTTTCGATGATTGGTTGACAAAAGATAGACCAATGGATGAAGTCAATGATCCTAAGAACGCAGTAGATTGGTTCGACGTAATACCACTCCTAAAGAAGCGCGGTTAACTCGCTACCCAATCGTTCTCGTAATTAAAAATTGTCTATGGTTAAACTCTGGATCAGACCATTAGATTAAAGTAAAAAAAGTAAGTCTGTCAAGAAGTAATTAAATTTGTACTACGAACTCAAAAACATTTCATGATTATCACGAATTACGGGCAATAATTTAGTTATGGCTTTATTATAGAATGCATTTAAATATTAAGGAATGTAGTTAAAAAGACAGATTTGCGATTATGCAAGAACAGTTTGATATTTATAGTTGTGAATGCTACAACTCGGTTCATATCTATCGCATATATATCCAAAATACAATAATGTATAATTATAAAACTCTATATCACTATGATTACAATAAGAGCCAAATGTAAGGCTAATATTTACAACTGATACTACCGGCTTTGCTTAGTAACTTCCACTGTTAAGTAAATACAAACAATTTCATCAATGAAAATGAAAGAAAATTTCAATTATTTTTTCTAAATTAATTTTGAATTAAACAATTAAACCTTGAATAATGAAACCATAATAAGTAATAATTTGCGTTCTAAACATCATTTATTACTTCCAGTCAAAGAGTAAAATTAGTGTACAAGTCTAGTTGACTAGCTTAAAAAGTTTTCTATTGGGTAGTAGAAACAGACACAAATTACGTAGTAAATCTTTAGTTTTGTGGTGTTCTTTAGTTACAGTAAATATTATTAAAGATTACCTAACAACCATAGAGACACCATATCTGAAGTGTTATGAAATGTTACATATTCTGTGGCCATTCCTTAAAAAAATAAGAAAAAAAAAACAAAACAAACGAAATACATCACAAAAGATTCTGTTAGACCATGTTTTTCTCATAATTTCATAATTTAAATAAACGTATATTTGCTTTTGTGAAAATTGTGAATCAGGTGGACACTTACATCTTAATATTAGTTAATATATTTGCGAATGTTTATATAACACGCACCCGTAAGATGAATTCTATAATATCTGATGATATGACCCGAGATCATTTGGCATTAGAAGCAGCAAAGTGTATTGGTAGGTTATGTTTTAAAAGTGGAACTATTAATTTCAGTCAATTGTTTTCGAAGTTTATATTGTTGTTGTGTATAATTTTATTTCAGAAAACATATTTACAAACAACCAAAACGTTAGAACTTTACATAAAGACTTGCTGGAAATAAACCTTTCGATCACAGCGTACTTATTAGAGAGTAAACGACGCTTGAAAGAGCTCCGATTGGAATTGGCACACGAAGCAAAGAGCTCACAAAGGGTTGTAGAAATACTGTCTGAAAAATGTGAGTAAATATTAGAAATTAAGTACTAGTAGTAGAAAGAAATTGTCTCTAGCATTTCATGGGATTATACCTACTTAAACAATATTAAACACTGAAGACCCCACCCTCAGTTATTTGTTGAACATAATATACATATTATTCTTTATCATTGTAACTATTTAAATACAAAGTAATTCTTATTGGAAAAATGTTTTATTTATATGTATAAAATGGCCCCAGTGGTCTAACACACCACTTATCTCTGATGGTCGCAGGTTCGATTCCTCCCACAATACAAACTTTTGTATTTGACTTTATTCATGTATATATGGTTTTTTGTGTCAATCTAGGTGTTTTTTATTTAAATTGTGTACATAAAGGAGCAACAGTTCAGTTATATTGAACATTTATTATTTGAAAATTATATTGTTAAATTAAGTAAATTAAAATTAAAATCTTTTATTCTGTAATTGACTATATGTCAGGTATAATTAATATTCTTATTTGTGTCAGATCTAAAAGAAATTGAGTATGTTTTGATAACAATTATTCTGTTTTTATATTACAGTGTAAAATGTCTAAATTACCACACATGCAATGCAATTCATCCCAAATGAATAAAGACGAGTCACAAAACAAATATAGTTATACAAAATTCACTGAACACCACCAAGCTAGGACTTTCATAAATTGGTACAAACACATGATTGACAATGAAAGACAGAATCTCTGCTTGTACCTTGCTGATGATGCCATTCTAGAGTGGTTTGGTAGAACTATAAAAACTAGGAAAAAGCTGTCTGCGTTTCTCAAACATGATATGCAGTGTTCAAGGCATGATCTTACTACTGTAGAAAGTATAAACAAGATTGAATTTAGGCAGGGCAGGATCTCCAGGTATGTAATTGGTATTTCGATGTAGATAGACATACTTTTATGTTTGTGCCAATTCCTTAATTATTATAAAATAATTGTGTAGAGGTACATTTTAGGCAAATGCTACAAATTCTAATTAACAATATAATTTTCAGAAAAGATGATAATCCAATTGCCAGTCCGCTTAACTCTCCTGACATAAAAAATTGTAAAAGAAGTCTCAAAACTACTTGCAACAGTCCTGAATGGGCAGAGGGGTGTAATCCACAAGATGATATAAAAGAGTTGGATTTTGTTAACAAGCGTCTAAAAAGACATCATGTTGAACATCTCAATCATAATGATGAAGATGTGGTACATATGAAAAATGGACTCAAAAGAGAATGTAGTGCAGATGAAGGTGTAGAGGTAAATAGTAAAGGTGACAGTGTGCTTAGGAGACGAGTGAAACGAAAATGTGTGCTGGTCACACCTCCAAACTGCGAAGTGGGGCAAGGAGATTGTTTGCCTTCTACAAGTGGGGCAGATTCTGATAGATCCCATGATACACTCAATGCCCAACTACCTAAGCTAGCTGTTGAATGCAATGGTTACATAGAATTTGCCAGATCAAGAAATAGTAGGAGCACAGATACAATGAAATGGGATAGAAAGTGTAAAATCCAGATTAGTTATTCACAAGACCCGTTAAACATTGGTGAGTATATCATATGGGCATTGATATATTCTGGTGAAAGTAAATGCAGGAGAAATCTTTTAGCTGCCTTTGAAGAGGCTGCTAAAGAAGAGGCTTTGCCAAATTTTAATGATTAGCATTATTTAATACTGCCAATATCAAAATAATATTTACATTAAAATATTTGACTTTTCAACATTTGACAAATTCGACTTTTTAATGAATTTTATTGATTATTTCATGATGTTTAATGTGGTGACAAATAAAGATGTTGTGTCACATTATGATGTAATGGCGCCCTTCACATATATAGCCGACATCCACAACTTACTATCAGGTGGGCAGCCTGCTTTTTTTTCATTCCAATTGTATTAAAAAATAGTTTCACAGCTAAAGTTAAATTCTACATGTTCTCATAGATAGCTTGAACAATTGGGTCACCAGACAGGCCAACAGACTTGGTCAAGTTTTTAGCAAGGCCAGATGCCTTCTTCATCATTTGTCATTTACCTTTGCATGTAATGTAATCCTTTGCAATGGCATGTTTCTTTACATGTAATAAAATTACATGAAGATTTAATAAGGCATCATATTTGCCATTATAATTTTAAAAAAGAGAAAAAATGATTCATTTTATGAAGTAAATTTTGTCAATATGAAGATTTCGTTATATACCTCATCTAATATCTATCTCCTGTAGATATTCTGTCCTAGTTTGGTACACTGTATGTCTATTATACACAAGTTGTCTATTATAACTATACAGAACATTTATTTTTTCCTCTTTTTGAGGATATTTTATATGTACTTGCTGAAGTATGTGATATAGTGAATAGTAATAATACCTTTATCTTTTAGGATTAAATTTTTAATTAGGTAGGTTTACAATATGACTATTTTTGTACCATGAATTAAGTAGTTGCAATATACTGAAAGTAACTATTAGTTTTTATGTCTTGATTTCATATAGGGGGACCAATAATATTATTGTTTGGTAATAATTTGCATGGAAGTTGAATTAGGTTTTATAATATTAATACATTGTGTTAAACTGTAACAATGTAATTTTATTTAGTTTTTGTGTGTTTTATACATTAATTATATGTAAGCTGAGTGTTGGATAACTTTTGGACAGTAATGTTTGGATTTTTAACACAAATTTAAATAATAGAATCTCTTATATCTTATGCATTGTTGTGTAAACTGAAACAGCTCTTAAGTCCTTCGGGGACACATCTCCCATTTTGATCTAATGACGCTATAAAAGATAACTGCAGCCAATGGCATCCTAATATTTCGATAAGAATTCCTATTTGTCTTTGCATAACTTAAATATATTGGTAGATATATGAATACAGCAGATATACAGGTCATAATACAAGTAGCAATACTATAATCTGAATTAGATTTATTTTATCTATAAATTTATAGAATATATTGCAATGATGTGCAGGATTATTTTTTATAGCTAATTTCATAATAAGTAATGGAGTATCGAATACGGCTCGCAGGTCGGTTATGTAAAGTTTAAAGGCCTTATGCAACTAGATAATGAGCTATTGTTACGATGGGAAAATCTGCTTTATTTCAATTACCACCGATTTATAATTTAGTCTCAAATGTTAGAGAATGGTAAGTTTTAATTTTGTGTTGTTTTTATCTGTTATTAAGTGATACTAGCTTTCATACCTGAAATTAATGTATACGCTTGATGTATGCAGATTCCCCGGGGTAATAAATACAGAATTACGTAGCATTTGTATCCGCTCCTATTATATGGTAGTGGACAGAGACCATAGTTACATTAAGTACACACAAATTAAGTATATTTTTTTATAGTGGATTTAATTTTTTTTTTTCATATTTTATTATATGTGTATATCATTTCAATACTAAAAAATCATTTATTGCAATACGCTAGATGGCTTCGGTTAGTCTATTGCCCTGGGTGAGATAACAATGTAACAAACCATCATCAAGTAGGTAGGTACGGTTTAAATCATGGGCTATTTGAAATTTGCATTATACGCGATTTATAAATACCCGATAGCTTAGTTACAAGATGATGGACGATTATATAAGAAGTTTATAGTAAACTAACTTCTCAAACTGCCTATATGTTATAATTGAAAGTAGTTAAGTTTAGTTTCATTGGAAATGAAAACGTTTTCTTTTGTATGTTCAGGAATATGCAAGTGATTCTGTTAATTAAACAAATAGCACTATTTCCCGAGGAATTACCGGTTATGATCTTCATTCCGCCACCTCACTTCGAAAGGCGGAATAAAGGCTTTTTATAAGAAAGAAACTATAAATGATCTTCCCAGGTCTTGAAAAAATCCAGCTAAAACAGCTGGGTCTATGCCATTATATGAATTCTAATGAGATTTAATTAGGTCTATATTATATTAACTTTTAAGTTTTGTTACAATGTCGTTACTTGTGAAGTAATAAAAATACAAAGATTTTTGTTTATACTAGAGATTATAAGGTAAATAAAATTTTTACAAATAACAGTGGGATTTTAATTTCAAGTAAAAACACATGTTTATAAAATATTTATTTGTCCTACGTTACAAACAGGAAGAACAACTTGCCAATATCAAATATTCCAATACATATATCACAATTATTTCATACAATAAACAAGTACATGTTACTCTTCCGTGGTAACCCTGTTCCTCCCAGCTATTGCACAGAATTACATTTTATTTATATAATCTGAATGGCAAAAAGACGGCAAATCTAATGGTCAATAGTAACCATCGCCTCTATACATGAACGGCACTACAGACATCATGTTATTACGTGACACCCGTGGTACCACACCATACGTTGCCATTCCAGTAGATGCTGTCATGCCAATTCGTGTAATTTCTCTGCCTGATCGAACCCTACAACCAAAACAGCTTAAAAAGCAAGCTGCTTGGCGGCGGAAATTAACATTGCGGCTAGTCATAAAGATTATCAACTATACTCCATATACACATATTTCTACCTTTTCCTCCTAGTTAGAGGATGTACCTGGAGTTATGAATACATAATAATAAGTGTAAAATCACGTCTTTATAAAAGTAAAACATTGTCAACGTACAACATAAAAATCATTAGTTGTTTTATTTATACATATTATTCAACAAAGTCCCCTGCTGCGTCTATAGGACGCGTATTTACGGACGGATTTTCATGCTGTTTCCATCCATAGACAGAGTAATTAAAAAGTTAAGATGTTTGTTGTTCTTTTGTAAATAAAAATACTAGTGCGAAGCAAGGGGTTGCTAGTACACAATACATATAAATACAACAGTTGATTGTTTTACACTTGCTATTTTTATAAACAATAGGTCTTTTAGCAAGTAAAGCTGCCACTAAGGAGGTTGCGTCTTAAAATTCTACGCATTGAGAGAAGCTGGTGCGGAACGGATTTGTGATCATTACACTTGTGATAATATATGAGTAGATCACATAAATAAATCACGTGGTAGTCATGACGTCAAGGCATAACTTACAATATTTCTGAGTACATTGTTTATGAGACATATACATTGTTTAAATCTATAATTTAATTTACAATATCATGTTCAATATGTATAAAACAAAATATTTAGATACTTGAAATTAAAATAATAATGTTATAATATGACACAAGTATCTCAAGTACATTATAAATTAATTTCAATTTATAAACCACATCTGTCATCAAACAAGGTACGGTACAGAACTTGGAATACACATAACATCTAAATAGTTAATTCTAAAATGATTCAAATCACTGCATATATAACAGGTTAGTGAGGTGAATATTGAGCAAAAACTAAACCTCATTTTAAATGAGGTTTTATACTGAAAGAATGGCAATGTCTATTTCCAGGTAGTTTCACAAGTAGGATATTATGGGGTTCATTTTTCAACCATAATCAACACTTCCACATGTTACTAAAAGTATTTTAATCAACCCATAATTTTAATTAAGGCCTCATTATTAAATCAGACATTGCCAAACTTGGCCAAGTCTTTTTATATATACTAATATTATAAAGCCGTACAGTTTGTTTATCTCATTCAATGCCCTAATCTCGGCAACTACTGGTTCGAAAAGATTCGAAAAAGGCAATTCATTGCGCTACGTCCAATAAGAGCTGAGCAACAATGAAAAATGTAGTTAAAACGGAGGAAATGCATTCTTTTTAGAACAGACGAAGTTGCGCGTTTTGCTAATTCATAATTAAATTGAGATGTAATTAGTGAGTGCCATTTCCATAATTAATCTGTAACAGATGCTTTGCACTTATCTGTAACATAATACCTACTTATTAATGTTACAGATAAGTGCAAAGCATAAATGTATATTTTTAATACCTACTAGTATTTAAAGTAATTATTTAATATGATGATAATTGAAATGTTAGGTTTAGAAATTGAAAATGTCAGATCTAAAATTAAATTTTGAGGCACTCCTGATGGCAACAAATATTACTTAATAATGAGCTATGGATAAATGATGTCACATCAACATGTAACCAAATGATTTTAGCCTGCAGTTTAACAAATATGATGTCATAGAACAACATAGGACTATTATACTTAAACCCAATAATGCAATATCTTGGAAAACAAGTGTGCTTATTGTTCTAATGTGACTTTCATGATTTACTATTATTTTTAATTTTATAAAATGAAAGTAGTATGTGAGTTATACCCAAATTAGATTTAAAAATAATCTTCACAGACAATATTTCTAATAAAACAAATTATTGTTAATGTACATACAAAATATAATTTCTTATGTTACTGTACTTAAGAAAAATAATGTTAGACACATATGATTAATGTAATTAATGTTGGTATAAATCAGAAATTCATTTAATAAAATTAAAAGTTTTCTAATTTATTTCTCTACCAATTTATAAATGCAAAAGTTTGTGAAAGCAGATGTTTCTTGCAGCTTATGTTGAACAGATCAAATCTTGTACACAGGTATACAATATTATAAACTAAAAAGTAGCACACTTATTGGAATGAATTAGGTTAAGTATTCTTTATCATATTTTTTATATGTATTTGTGTCCTAAATATTTATTATTGCCCCTTTGTTTCAGAAAAATATTATATAAATTCAATGTTTGCAGGAAACAAAATGTTTTCAATCAATACAAATAATTTCAACACAAACTATATAATAATAATACCAACAACATTTTGGACTCCTTCTATCACTACTATTTAACCACAATTTTGAGTATCTGTGGTAACATTGCAAAAGAAACATTTATTTAACAGTTTCATGTAACTTCAAAATAAGATCAGGTTTCAGCAATGTAGTATTTATGGCTGATATGCTACTTATATATAATTCTAGTCAATTTTGTAAAAAGAAAAATAAAACACATGTTTTATGACTTCATACTATTCAGTCAGTTATATGGCATGCCTAGACCATACATAGTCTATTAGAATTGAGGGTCAAAATCTGGAGCCTCATTAATAGCATTTGTATCTTCTAAGTCTTCTTTAGCTGCATTGTCTTCAATAACAGGCTCATTAATAGGATTGTGGACATTAAGTGCTGGGCTTAACTTCGGAGGTAGCGCAGCTGGAGTCACCTTAGAAGGAACTGCAGCTGCACTTTTAGTTGTTAATGCAGATTTCAACCGTTCAATTTCTTTTTCCAAATCTTCAATTTTCTGTTTCCTCTCTGTCAACTGTGTTGTTAATGTGTCCTTTTCTAGCCTCAAAGTCTCTAATGTAGCAGATTTACTTAATTGTAAGTTTTGCAGAGACTGTAACTCAGTCTTACAAAATTCTAAATCGACGCGCGTTCGGTTGAATTCCTTTTCCGATTTCAAAATCTTGTTTTTATACTCAGAAACGTCGTCGGATAGTCTAATTTTCTGTTTATCTAAATCGTTAACTTTGCTTACATACCCATCTCTCTGTTCCAGTAGTGTGAGCGACTCTTCCATACACGATGTCTGTTGCTTTGAACATTCCTGAAGCTGTGTGCTAATTTCTGCAACTCTAATTCGCAATTCAGCTTCCATACTCCAACTATTGAACAGTGAAAGTAAAAGTAAGATGCATAACGCGAAGACAATGTACATCGGCCAGCGTCGCATGTTTTCTATACCCATAACTTATTATAATTATGATATAACAAAAACTATTAACGAAATAAAAAACGTACTTAAAAAATATTTTATAAATAAATTGAATAATAGATAGATATTATTATTTTAGTTTAGAGATGTTTCGTTAATTTAGTTAGTTATTATAGCTATACTTATTTATTAAATTTGACATATCCACTTTGAGTATTTGACTGACATTATTTTGATTTTGACAACACGATTATTCTACCATTTGTTTGAGAAGGATTTATAGAATTAATGACTCTATGACAATTAGTACATTGAATTATTATATTTTTTATTTTCATTCCGTCATTATGTTATTAAATATTGCGTTGTAAATTCTAGATTACACTAACATTTATTTTAAGTATATCACGTTAAATGTTCATATCTCTCTAAATTTTCCATTAGTTTTGTTTGGAGGGTGAACAAAATTTGAGATTGGCAATGTCATTGATCACGTGACCACTACTCTAGCATCCATAGACAACAGTTCTTCATCGACTTCTTTGGTTTATAGCCACGAGGTTTTTAGAAATATTCGGATTTATTAATAAAATAATAAACAGACACTTCTTTTTCTTTGAATAAAATGCCACCCAGTAATCCTTTACCGCCTAAAGAAAATGCACTTTTCAAACGAATTTTGGTAAGTCCTCGTGTAAACATTTGATTTGGTTCTGTTCGACTTGTCATTATTTTTCGTTTTGCACTTCAATTCATATAATAATAAATTATATTTGGTTACCGCCAAAAACATTTTGTGGATATTTAATTTTTAGATTAATATATATCACCTTATAGTAATTTACGCTATATAATTTACAAGAATTGGCCCATATCAACCTTGCACTATTTGCTGCAATGAATCTAATAATAAATATAGGTTACAACTTTGAATTATTAACGTTTTATTATATTTCAGCGGTGTTACGAACACAAACAATACAAAAATGGGTTGAAATTCGCCAAACAAATATTAACCAATCCAAAGTTTGCAGAGCATGGAGGTAAGGTTTCTTTATCTGTGTTAATTTAAGATTTTAAAAATGAATTGCATCTCTTAAATCTGTAGAAAATAAAGGATAAATTATCAAAGTTAAACAAGAAGTCTATGCCAATATTTATTGCCCAACTTAATAGATTATAAAAAAGGTGTGCTTCAGTTACTGTAACTATTATATTTAGAACAATCTCAACAATAATTTAAGCATCATACATTTTTACATCTTTTAAAATATTTATCTAATTTCAATATCTGTCTGTACCATTGAAAATGAAGACTATTTGATTCCCTAAAATATACAGATATGTTTGTAGCCTTCCAAAAATAGTTGTCTGAGTCAGTCAGTCTAAACATTGCTCCCTGTTATTTTGTTACTTAACTGCAATAACTGTGTTTCTTGTAAATGTTAATATCATTGTTCATACTGAGTGTGGTGAAAAACCAATGGGAATTACTGAAATGATTATTATGATTATTTTTTCTAATTAAATATATCCTCTATAGTTTGTATTTTAGTAAAACTAATTTAAATATATTTTTGATATTTTTCTAAATCTTGAATAATGTTTTATTACCAATTTGTATACCAATAAAACATTTGCTGAAGTCTAATATATGTATACTGTTACTACTGCTGGTTAATTTACATAGTTTATTTGTTCTTGTATGGCGTCTAAATATCTTGTACTGTTTTAATCATTGGACCACCTTCATCAAGTAGAAATTGGACACCCTAACTGATAGTATAAAATTTAATGTAATTCTTGTACGAATCCTACATTTGATGCCAATGAGGATTTACATCCATACCCTGTAAATAAGTTCCTATACCATCACAGGCGATGCATAGCAACACAGTTGTCAAAGCATTTTGTTTGATGTAATAGAATGGATAGAAGTGCTCATGCAGATGTCTTAGTCTAAAAATTATTTCACTAATTAAAAGTTACACAATCTATAAATCAAATAATAGAGTGATAGATTATGTACTTCATTGCCTCTATCAGCTTTACCATGTTGCATTGTTACCATTGGGGCAATCAGTCCCCATTACTAACAATTTCTTTTCCCCCAGTCTTAATCACCTAAAATTGTTTATATTCAAATTGTAAACAGTAATATAATCATACTGACATATAATTTTTCAGAAACATTGGCTATGAAAGGCCTGACTCTAAATTGTCTTGGACGAAAGGAGGAAGCATATGAATATGTCCGTAGAGGCCTTCGCAATGATCTGAAGTCACCCGTTTGCTGGCATGTTTACGGTCTTCTACAGCGTTCTGACAAGAAATATGATGAGGCAATCAAATGTTACCGTAATGCTCTCAAATGGGAAAAGGAAAATATTCAGATTTTAAGAGATCTATCGCTTCTGCAAATTCAAATGCGAGATTTGGAAGGTTATAAAGTAAGTATAGTACAGCAGATATTATGAATAGTAATCAATCATTTTTAATTTAAAGATGTATATTCAAAGAATATAGTTTTGGATCAGTAAATACAATTCTATCAACTGATTCATTTAACTGTGCTCCTTGTTAACACTAGATTGATATCTAAGATTCTTTGGCAAAAAAAAATTCATTTAAACATGTAATACTTTGAAATTACATATTAATTATTTAGTATTGAATATATACAACAAAACAAAAAGTATGTGTATTTTCTATTAATATACATTTTGTAAACTGTTTTGCACATCTGAGAATTTTGTTTTAAACTATTTTTTCAACTCCTAGTCAACATTTGAAATCTTTAGCAGTGTGAAGTTACACATATAACTGAGATCATTAACAGATTCATTAGAAACTTATTATTGTTTGCTTGTTTGCACAGTTACACTGGTAGTGAATAATAAGAAACTAGGATGCATTAATACTACTAGAAATAATCTGCTTTAATTTTACAATTACAAACTCAAAGCAAATAAGTTTGAATCATATTTTTATTTCAATATGAAATTCATATTGCATTCAATATATTATTGCATTTGAACTACTGCTAATTTCATTATCCTATGTAGTCTATAAGAAGAATAATTATAAGGATATATAATTATTTAATTTTTTTTAAATAATTATATATCTGTAGACAATTATTATTTTTATAACTCTGAAAATAATTATTGGTATTACTTATATATCTCTTTATCTTGTAGGATACTAGATATCAGCTCTTCATGCTCAGACCCACACAAAGAGCTTCATGGATTGGATTTGCCATGAGCTACCACCTTCTGGGCGATTATGAGATGGCGAATAGTATTTTAGATGCATTCCGCACAAATCAAATGAAAGGCCCTTATGATTATGAGCATTCAGAACTGCTGCTATATCAAAATATGGTTATAGCAGAGTCAGGCCAGTATGATCGTGCTTTACAACATCTACAAAAGTTCCAAAGCCAAATTTCAGATAAGTTATCAGTAAAAGAAACCTCTGGTGAATATTATTTGAAACTTAAGAGGTATGTGTTTATGTCTTTTATTTTGTTATACTATTGTAGTGTTAGGATCCTTTGATGACTCCTGTACCATTGATTAATGGATTATTTAAGGATGTAAATGCAAGATAGGAGAATAGACTCTCCATTACTTTGGGTTGTACCAATTGAAGCTGTGACTGGAGAGGGAACACAAAAACTAGTATAAAAAAACAGAATAATTGTATTATATGTTTATAATTCCTAAGAAGGCTCACAAAGAAGTATTCAAAAGTAACATATAAGATAGATAGAATAAAATTAAAGTACCAATACTGAATCCCTGTTTTAATTATAATAAAATTTAAATATATTATAATGCAGAGTCAGAGTCCTTTTCAAAGCGGCAAGTTTTAATGACTGATATAATTGTTTTATAGGTTCAAAGAAGCAGAAACTGTCTATGAGGACCTTTTAAAGAGAAATCCAGAAAATGTTATGTACTATCAGAAACTTATAGAAGCTAAACAACTTAGTAATCCTGATGACAAAGTGGCCTTCTTTGATGTATATAAGTGAGTCTTTTGTGATTTAAATATGAACAATGGTTATTGCATGTCATAAGGTTGTGTCTATATATGTCTTATGAGTAGTATAACCATTTATGAGATAGACTTTGTTTAAATTCAGGTAATTTCCAATATTATGTATATACTAAAATAAATAACAAAGCTAGCACCGTCTAATGTGTTACCACAGATCTCCCATCTATTATAGAGTACTACAACATACTTAGTTGTCAGTACCCACACCTCAACTTCGACACTTCAACCGAGCTATACAAATTTTGTAAAATGTGTTTCCTTTGAAGGGTGATATATGACAGTAAATTTATAGAGTATGGGGGCATTAAACATTAGTACTTGCATGGAAATGCCAACACATGAAGTTACCCCTTATTCATCACATGGTATTGTGATCCTCATGAATATTGCCAGTTGCCACTTATCCTAATTACAAAGAAAGACAGCCCTCCACTTAAATAAAACAGTAATGCCAAAATAGCATTACAGATTTTACTGTGTAGCAGAGTGTGTGTAACAGTCTCTATTTTATATTTCATGAGGAACATGAGTACTCTTGATTCACTTGATAAAATTTGTAAAAATTCTAGTAGTAGTTTTATAAATTCATAAAATTCATTGTTTATTGTTATTTGTACAGAATTATGTAATGCTTCTTTATTCCATTTTAATTCAATATTTAAGTTATACGTTATCAATTTAATTGACGCAAATTATAAGTGATATTACAAAAAAAATGTATGGACCTCGCTCTCACCACTTCCGCTACCAAGAAATTTTCTTTGTAACATGTGTTTTGGTTGAAGTCAGTGAAATTACAGGATAAGAGACATGATATTTTAGTTCCATCATAACGAGATGTATGTGATGCTGTATATAGGTGATGGTTACCACTTACCATCATCCATCCATGTGGTCCATCTGTTTGTTTGCCATTTCAATTACATAAAAAAAAAGCTTTCCGCACCGAAATAATATAAAATTCTCCCAATATTCAGGTGTATGGTCACCCGTATCCAATAGTGAGGATTGGGCGCCTATCAAACTGTAACGAATACCTAAAAATGGTTTTACAGGAAAGAGTATCCCAAAGCAATAGCTCCGCGGCGGCTACAGTTAACTGATGCGCAGGCGCAACCAGTTTTCCAACGACTAGTCGACGAGTACCTTAGGCACGGGCTGCATAAAGGCATCCCGCCGCTTTTTGTTGATCTGAGGTAAAATATCTTTACTTATTTATTTGTATATTTTCAATGCACATAATACTAAGATATGAATATAATTGACGGCCTCTGTGGTCTATCGGTTAAGCACACCACTTTACTTATGATGGTTGCGTGTTCGATTCTTCGCACGGTACAAACATTTGTATTCATGAGTATGTTTTTGTATCGGTCTGAGAATTTCATGTATACTGAATACAATACTACTGATATTACAATTGTAAATAAACATTATTATTAGTATATTTCCATGCAACTATTATTATGAGGTCATGATATTTCGACGCTGTACAGAAAACAAGCTAAGTTATTGTTTATTCATAATACTTGTTTGTTTTGTTTAGTTCATTAATATTTCTATAGTTAATGAAAATTATTAAGATATTCCTTTACTCGCGAGTTGTATAACAAAGATTAAGAACCCCTGACTATAGAATATATGTCCCATATAATCAAATAAAAAAAAAGTTTATTATTATTATATAATCTAAAAATATGATATTCCAATTTGCAGATCGTTATATGCCGACCAAAGTAAAGCGGACTCTATAGAGAAGTTAATATTACAATACATAGAGAATTTATCAAAGACTGGCACGTTTAGTTCGGAAGCGAGCGAAGTGAAACAACCGGCAAGTGCGTTACTATGGGCGTATTACTTCGCCGCGCAGCACTTCGACTATAAGAAAGATACGGATAGAGCATTACATTATATCGATGCAGCGATTGAACACACCCCTACACTTATAGAATTATTTATTGTTAAAGGGAAGATATATAAGGTATGTAACAAATTTCAACTTTCATAAAATATCTTTTCTTTTTTCTGAATCGTTTACTGTTTTTTTATGGATGATAATCCAATTGTGTACTCGCCTGCGCTAACCGTTTACGTTGTGCATTGGAGGCTATGGTCAGGTCAGTTAGTCCATGGTGGTAAATTCTCCAGGAATTTATCCTCCCTGGTGTTTCATACGTTCATAGATTATGTTAACTGTTTACCATCAGATAGACCGTATGCTTGTTTGCTACCATCGTAGTATAAAAATAGTATACAGTGCGAACTCCAATCTCAATAGTGTGTAATAAGGTCCAATGTTGATTCCGACAGCATGCGGGCGACCCTGTGGCGGCGTATCAGTGGCTGGAGGAGGCGCAATTGCTGGATACGGCCGACCGGTACGTGAACAGTAAATGCGCCCGCTACATGCTACGAGCTGATCATCTAAAGCGGGCAGAGGACATGTGTGCCAAGTTCACTAGAGAAGGTATTAATGCAAATTTGAAGCCCTTTGACATATATTTTAATATAATTTGTCGTAAAACAATAGTACTTTCAGATATTTGCGCTCACTCGATACTGGACTTTGTGGAAGAATATGTTACGCACATATTTGTATGCTTTATGTTACGTAAAAATTCGACAAGATACATTAGTATACAAATGTTTGTTCAAACTTTGAATATATCAATTGACGTATAGGTTGCTATATCTACCACGTAGTTTATTTGTATTTTTATATGGTTTATAGGCGTGCCTGCGACAGAGAACCTGAACGAAATGCAGTGCATGTGGTTCCAGACAGAGGCGGCGGCCGCCTACCAGCGGCTGCAGCAGTGGGGCGAAGCGCTCAAGAAAGCGCATGAAGTCGACAGGGTTAGTATTGGTTTTTAAAAATATGATACATTTTATTATTATTAGCACTGGGTTCTTTCTGCCTAGGGCCCATGTATAAATTACGTCATACGATGGAAGGGGGTCGCCAAACTGTGTGTGGTTTTGAGGTTCTAAATTTTGTGACGAACATTTCAGAATGTAATATATCTAAGCATTAACACGAAGTTTGAATTATTCACGAAAAAATCTACTTTATCATTAAAAAATAAGGTTTAAATTATTTAGTTGACACGATTATTGACGGGTTAGTAGTATAAAATTCAAAGTGTGTGAGGGAGGGGGTAGTCTCTAAATGAGCCCAGCTGTTACAAAGCTGGAGGAAAATGATAATATTCATGTAGAGTAATTTATGAAAGAAAATGAATGAATGTCTTCCCTGTATATGAATGTGTATAGAAAGAAAGAAATATACATAATATACCAGACGCCCCGTCGTCGTGCCGGGTTGCAATTGTCCTAGACAACTTTTTTTTAATATAATTTTCTTAGCTTTACTTCATAATACCACCTATACCTGAAATACAACAAAGTACCTTCGATTTTGGTAAATTACCCCATTTAAGTACTGGCAACATTAACAATTTCATTTTAGCCTAGTATTAAAATATTTTCTTATTTTCTGAATAATACTTACTGAAAGCATTATGCTTTATCTTGGACTACCAAGGCTTAACATTTAACCGGTCAATTCGGATTGTTTTCTTTGAGCTCGTTCCTTCAATTAAGTGCCATTACCACTGATGTACTAACAACAAACGTGTCGATAGTTTTATGTTTACTTGATATGGTGCCATTCTCATGCAACACTCAATCAGTCTATAGGTAATTTGTCTAAGACTTGGACATATTTTTTATATATGGAATGTCATGCAAGCTGACGGCCCATCTGAGCCTAATTTGTAACCGTCGCCTATGTACATTAACACCAATACAGACCTACGGACCTGTGATACAGTTCATGCGTTGTTATTCCAGAGGAATAAAATGCCATGCCTCTTTTGTAATTTTACAGCTTTATACAACCGAAAGCATTGCTTATAAAGAAACTGCTTGGCAGTAGAAATAGCTGAGACTGAGATGCGACTTTTTTACATAGTCTGCCTAAGTATTGTAATGAAATGTATTTTATTGTATTCACAGCACTTCTCCGAAGTAATGGAGGACCAGTTTGACTTCCACTCGTACTGTATGCGGAAGATGACACTTCGATCGTACGTAGGACTGCTGCGGCTTGAGGATGTGCTACGGTCGCATCCGTTTTACTTCCGGTGCGCACGCGTCGCCATCCAAGTGTACCTGCGCCTGCATACGCAGCCCCTCAGAGACGTCCCGCAAACAACCGAGCCTGATACTGGTGAGTACATAGTATTTATACAAAATTCTTAAAAATCTAATTCTAAACAACATTATAAGAGAAAGACGCAAGATTCTTGCTCGTGAATTACAAATCTTATATCGGAAGTTTTTAAGGTGTCAGCAATTTAGGTAATTTATGTTGTTATCTTATGTTGGCAATTTTCTTTCCATTTATTCTGTACCTGATGAAAAGTGACCTTTGCTTTATAGACATGAAAAGTATCACTGTAATTGCGTTGCCATTCTCACGCTTCAAATTGCTACATTGCAAGCTGGTTAGCAGTAGATATAGGTTAGATAGAGGCACCTTCTATCAGAAACACGCGGACAACTCGTCTGTTTCGTTTCTGGCTCCTTGTATAATTCCTTTTTTTCCGAGTCATTCATTGTGCATATGCCCCACTACTCTAAAAAGACCCGGAAGTAATAAAATTACAATAAAAAGGCTACTTTCTTATCTAGAGGGCAGATCAGTCAGTTAGATAGGCGTGAATGTTCTATTATAAATTATAAAATTCATCATTTTAAATAGGGTTACAGCAGTACTTGTATATTTGGATACTTATACATTTTATGCCTATTAATGGTAATATATTCTATTTATTTATTTAATTTCAATGCACAAAAATAAAGTATACATATGGCGGATTTAATACTTTGCGGCGTTAATTATCAGTCAACCATGGTGAAAGATTTTTGGCGGTGCACTAATATAAAAGAGACATGTAAAAAAGTATATAAATTTCTATAAAAAACAAATGATAAGTCCGGGCTGCTTTCCATCTAGATTTATTGAGTACACGATTATTGTTAGTGTGGACTGATGCTTGTGAGTATTTGGTGTACTGAAGGGAAAATGGTATGTGTGGGCGTTATATGGATGCGGAGCGGTGTAAATGCTGACGGCTGTACAATACATAATGATTGTTATTGCGTTTTTACCAATATGCATTATTTTATTTAATAAGCGATACCTTGTTTTAACAGAGATATATATTTCATCAAGAATCAATCGTGATATTTTCATAGTTACACTAGAAATTTATATAACATTAAGTCATTCGGCAAAGAATTGTCCATTTGTTATTATAAGAAATAAGAAACAAATTATAGACGGTCTTTTTTTAAGATTCACCAAACGCAATGAGCCAAATTTTATAAAAATTGGATAAGTAATTTTTCCTGAGACGGAATTTATCCTAGTCGAATATAATAGTATGTATATGAAATTTCCTATTTATATTTTTTATAATGCATATATATATTTTATTATTATTATATATACAGTACATATGTTAGATACTTTAGTTTGGTGTGAGTTACTATTGCTTGGAGTTTCCAAGTAATATAATTCGCTATTAACACAAGGCCATAACGGTCCACTTGAATAAACGGCAGCCTTGTGTACGGTTGAGAATTGATTGCATTTGTGATACTGTAATGTTATCTCGTATTTGCAAACTATGATACATTTTTAATATTAAACTAGCTGACCCGCACAACTTTGTCTGCATCGCACTTACATGACTTTTATCATTATATTTCGCCCATTATACATATCTGTTTAAGTTATAAAAATTCTTTCAGTACTTTTTGAGTGTAAGAGTAACAAACATCCATCTATACTAACAAACTTTCGTATTTATAATATTAATCGTCAGTAATGTCTTACGTAGTATAAAATGTTACAGTGATATTTATAATAGTTTCATCATTCATACTTAGTGGCCTGCTTCATACCGCTGTTCATTATTTTATTTTATTTTATTAACATAATATATCTATAAATTATTTCACTATCTATGAATCCACGATCAACGATACAGGCATAGCTTAGTGTAGACTCATAGATGAAATGTTACTTATGTTTTTCGAAATAAATGTTATTCTAATCTAATTTCTCTATAGGTATGAACAAAAACAAATTTTATTTATACAAAATTTAATGTTTTATTATTAATCATCTTCGTTTATTAAAATACAAAATCACAATGATTTCTCATTAATTTGTTTATATAACAATTAGATAACAATTGTTTTCATTATTGCGTATATTATAACAATGCTCACTATCATTGTTACACTACAACATATCACATCACTCTTGACAGTTCATAAGAATACTAACATAAATAAATTAGCTATCATTATGCATGCACCACAGTCTCTTAACAATAAATTAATAAATAGTTTATCAAGATTACACAGCGTCCTTTATGTTGCACAACATTGGCGCACGTAAAAACAAATTACAGAATAATTAAATAAAAACACGTGTTTTAAATATTATGGCAATGCGGACTTCGCCCGCTAGTCTTTCGTTCGTTACACTACTTAGGACACTTAAAACATCACATTTGCGCTTTATATTTACACGGCACGTCGCTAAAGCGGCGTTCACTGTTCAGACTAGAGCTTTGGTTTCACCGTCCGTAGCCGGGCTGCCGGTACCTTTGGCGGGCTTGTGCAGCTTGTGCTGCTTGCGCTGCCTGTGGTGTTAAGAAGTACACGTGCGCGCCTTCGCCCGGTAGCCGGTATGACACAAACGAGCCAGGCCTACCCTCGCCCGCCGCGTTCACAGGGGATATCCATTCCGCGTCTGGGTTGATAGGCGGTAGCGGTCTTCGGTAATTAACCGCCGTATCATCACCCAACGCGGGCCTATTAAGGTCGTACTGTTCGCCGGTGTATTGCGGTCTTTGTACTTGATTTTGTACCCTGTATTGCTCCGCTGCTCTATATCCCGGATTAGGTATAGGGATAAATTCGCTGTCCGGGTTGATAGTTGGCCGTGGTGGTCTCTCGTTCACCAGCGTGTCGTCGATCAAAGACGGCGGTTTTTGCTGGACTAACTCTGCATTTTGTTGTCTCTGTATTACGGGTTCGCTGTCTGGGTTGATCGGTGGACGCGGGAGACGATCATTCACAAGTGTGTCTCTGTCAAGCGATGGTGGGTTTGGACTCTGAGATTCGACGATCTCGTACTCGTATTGTAGATTTATATTGTTGTCAATTGGAGTCCTCACAGTATTGAGCGGCGGTGTTACCGCTAAACCATTAACGTCTCGCGTGCTGTCCTCAATTTTTTTGCCAAATATGTCGAATGAGTTCTTTGTGATATCATCTAAATACCTCTCATCTTGCTTAGTGTAATAACCGCTTTCGACCGGGTTGGCCGTAGTGCTCGGTTGTCTGTTTTGTACTTGAACCGATGCTGGCTTGTCATTTTGTATCGGTATGTGATTTCTATTAGCCTTAGATCGAACATCTTTGTCGTTTAGAGCAGCATTGTAATCTGATTCACGTAATTTCGTTTTAGGATAGTATCTAGTCGCTATTGGGTTTTCTGTAGTAACTATGTTTTCTATTAAGTACTGTTGCTGATATCCCGGTGACACCGATGGAGTGATACTATTGAATTCGTTACCGAAATTAAAAGGTTTGCTGTAACTCACCATTGGTCTGAATGGTTCAGGATCCAGTTTAGGTGCACGGAAAGTCAATTGTTCTGGTCTTGGTTTAGTTTGATAACTGAATTGATATACCGGTCTGGACGTTATGGCTTTAGGCTTGTGTCCGTGTGGTCTATGCGAATGCGCCTTAGGTCTCTTTGTCGTGAATAAATCTATCGTTTGTTGAATATCAGCTATTTGCTGGTAGAATTGGTCTGGTCGTTGCTTCGGTTGTTGAACGTAAACCGCTTGATGTCTCGGTTTTTGTACACTAAAGTACTCTTGTGTGAGTGTTCGTGGTCCTTGTTTTTGTGGCCACAAGAATAGAGCATCTGTTTGATCAATCGCTCCGTATGAAACATCAACCGTTGGTGTGAAACCGGACTGAGGATTAATGTTTTGTTGCGTAAACGGTGTTTGGCTGACCGGTAGTGTTTTATAATAATTCTTGCCATCGAAAAATGTTGCAGGTGATGGTGAGGTCTTTGGCTGTTCATCGTAGAAGTAGAAAGAAGCTAATGGATTTTCTTTAGGTTTTTGATTATACACCGGCTGTAATTTAGTCGTAGGCACTTCATTATCCGCATTAGAATAGTATGCTCTTAATGGCACTGGAGTTGATGTTACTACATCATCAATAATTATGTTGGGTGTCTTTTCCTGTACATTATATATTATATAGGGTTTTTCAGATGTTGTAGGTATTTTTGTATCATAAATAGGTTCTGGGTAGTCATAAATTACTGAAACTGATAGTGGTTTAGACGTTGGTTTTGTTCTTGTTTTATAAACAGGTTTATCTGTTTTTGGTCGTGTAGTGACATCGTCTGGAAGATTTTGAACTCGTATAGGAGCTCTTGAAGGTATTCTTTGAGGTTTTCTTATCTTTGGATATGTTACTATTTCAATTGGTGCCGGTGTAGTTATCGTACTTAGTATTTCGGTGGTTCTGGTAGGTTCTGATGTCGTGCTCGTTGGTGGCCTTGTCTTATATTTATAGCGATTCACTAAACCAGGTACTTTCGTAGTTGGTTTCGGCCGGGAGTATGTTGTTGATGGTGTACTTGTAGTTATTGACTTTGTAGTTGATTGCTCTTCAATTGGAGCAAAGAAATCTGGCGGTGGTGGTAATATTATACCAGGTACTAATGGTCCAGCTGGTACGCTGTTATTGTAATCGGCGCGGTAAGAAAAATTGTAAGGCGGCGGATAGTAGATCGAAGGGTCGTCTTCGTCGTACAGGTCTGATTGGTTGCTCGGTGGTGGTAGAAACACTGCGCCCGGAGGAAAGCCTTCTGGAAAAGATCCGTTTATGGGTGGTGGGAAGGGGAATGCTCCTTCGCTCGCATTCCCAGGTAGGAATGGGAACGGAGGAATTGGCAACGGCGCTCCCCCGGCAGTAGAGTTTCCCTGATAGTCACCCGGGGGATAGGGCGCTCCTTGTGGGAATGGGAATGGCGGAGGAGGTAGAGGGCCTTCGCCCTCTCCTGCAGAGTAGGGAGGGAAAAAGCCCGCAGGGACGCTACCGTTTGGCGTAAGGAAGACGAGCGGTCCGTTGTCGGAGAGTTGTACCGGAAAGGGCGGAGGCACTTTGGGTTTCTGTGGTAGTTTTACTTGCCTTCTAGGCGCCTCGTAGTTGTCAATCGGTGGCCATGGTCTATTATCATTTTCTTTAGTTCGTTCTGGGAAAGAGCCTCCTTTCAAAACTAACAAATGATCCTCTGCGAGCCATATTTCATCTTTATTTAGACCTCCTAAATTTTGAAGGTTATCCTTTGTTCTCGTTTCTGAATTGGGCTCATAACTTATTATTCCTGGCCGTTTTGGCGTTTTTGCAAATATTTCATTCTGTATGAGACCATATTTTCCTTCTGCCACCTGATCTGACAGTGTCTTTTTGTCCTCCTCATCTTCCTTAATTTTTACAGCTTCCTTTCCCTCTCCGGCGCTGGACATGAGCATGCCGTCATCCCAGATGCCTTGGTTCCATCCTACGGTGCCGCCTGACTGGTCCGGCGCAATCGCGCTTACGAATTTACCAGTTTCACTTTTGTCGTTTAATGAAATGGAATTCTTCGCGCTACTGTAGTCCTTGTTTTTCATATGTCCGCCAATAAGCCGCTTGATCGTGCGCTGAGATTCAGCAGGGTCGATATCCGTCGGCGGGGCGTAGCTGCGCTGATCGCGCACGAACGAGTCAGGCGGCCGCACGTAGGTGGGCACCAAGACACTGGCGTGTGCCTCGCACGCCCATGCCAGCGCTAGCACGAGCGCCAACGCCGCCCCTCTCACCATCTGAAAGTTTAGAAAACATGATTTATTAAATTGTGTTGCGACTCCACTATCCTATTTACTCTAAAGTATAAATTAGCGAACTTATCTAAGTAGGGGTTTCTTTATTATCGAATGGCGCACCGTCGTCGTACATGAGCGGTCGGAGTGAAAGGCGCGACGGAGACAAAAGCGGTGGCCAGTGATTTGGACACTGACGTGCCGCGTGCTACCACCAGCCTTTTATCAAGTTTCACACAGCGACCACCTCCGACCCGCTGGCATTGAGAATCAAGCGTTTAATTGGAAATTGAATGGCGAATAATGCCCGCGAGACAGGAAGGCCGCGAAGCCTAAATACGAAAAAAATCGAACTGTCATGCTTAATTCAAGTGTCTTCGTATTCTAGTTTCATCGACAAGGGCCTCATTGTTCGTGGAGTTTACAGCCTTAAATGGAATGTTCATTAGCCGAGTTGAGGTTTAACCACATAGAAATCAGTTTTGAAACAATAATGGGGCATTTTTTCAATTTCAATCGGCACGAGAATCGTAACGCAATCTCTCGTTAGTCACGAAGACTTCTGTTGGGTGTGAATAATCGTGTTTCTTTCAGACAATATGCGCTTTAATGTTTTAAGTGATGTGGGTGGGATGTGATAAAATGCTGTGTCTAGTTGAAAGAAAGATTATAATAAGCGGTGACGAAAATTGGGGTGTATAGCGTTGAAAGCGTCGCAAGCCTGCTGTGTCTAGCGGCCTAATAATAGGAGTAGGTAAACTGGGACTGGTAGACGAGGGCGCCGCTGGCCGGGTGGGCGTGCCAGGGCTCGTGAAAGGCACGGTCGCCTGACTAGTTCGATTTCGCCTTCGGTAAACTGTACCAACTTGTAATTGTTGTATGCTGCGCACTGAAAGTGTACCAGATCAGTAGAACTAAAGTTGTCTATACACGGGATTATTTAATTATTGGGTTAACGAAAACGAAACGTGTAAATAAAATATAATTTTTGCTTTTGTGTACATTTATAGTATATCGGTTGCATTTCTATTACATTAACTTATTACTCTGTTAATGTGATGACTTATTTTGATGTCCACTTGAGTATACAGACATCATAATATACGCATACGCTAACTTGATGTAATTTTACTCTCCATTAATATTGTATAGATGTTTCTAAACTTGTGATAATTTTACTATAAATAGTAAGTACATATTCTGAAATTATCCGTAGTAAAAGATTGTTGCTTTTGCACGATAACACAACTGTTCCAAATATAATATAGTTACACTTAATCCTTACCAAATATATGCTAGGTGTCTTCGTATTATTAATCAAAACTATAAGATTGATTGTCTGTGCATGAAATTTTATATGTAAAAATATTACTTTAGAATGTAGCTTATGACCTTCATAAATTAAAGTAAAATTATTATTGATAGGTTTCTGTATAAAATAACCTATTATTATTAAATAATTTCTTAGCGTATGTCATATTATCGTGATCGAACTAAATTTCCTCTGCTAAATTGTCAAGAAACATTATCATTCAAGCGGTCACGCTCATTATTTTACAATTATATATTAAAATTTTTTGTAAAAAATGTATCCGGCGTCATATTAATTCTTCGATGACAATAGCGTATAATTTTATAAATAACCTTGATTTAATCGTTTCGGCGTTTGATGGCGGCACTCATTAAGAAACGGTTTGCATAATCAGTTGTTTCAATTTCGGAAATCAATAACTATTAATTTGATCAAGCAATATATTTATATAAATGCAATTGCATTAACGCTGCAAGGATTTTGTTGCATGCCGACCTCAAGTGGTTGCTATGCATTGACATTTGTTCGACTCATCCTTTCGTTTGTAACATGTTCGCCTTCGCGGTAATGTTGCCGCGGAATCGGCTTCATTTAGTTGCGACCATTGTTGTAATTATATGACATGAGCAATGTAAAACTAAGACAAGCGTGAGCGGCCTTGCAGCCGCAAGGTGCTCGATTTTTTGCGGTCAACAAAACGTGAATGATTTACCAACAACGGCTTGGGAGTGTCATGGTGGTCCGCGCTTACGGTTTTAACAATGCTGGACAGCCTTGTGGTCGCGCGCACCACGCTTCGCTTACAATAAAAAAAAAAAACAATTCGAGATTCGGAATTCGAATATGTCGTAAGCTTTCTTTGCGGTCTCATTTCACTCAGACGCGCCATGTTGGGAAATGCGCCCGAGTGATGCATTGTTGATCATTTGTATTCAGTACTCGGTCCACAGCGGGTACAACTTTCCATCGGCCTTTGTAAGACGAACCAACAGGATATGCTGTTTCGATAGATAAGATATTTTACGCTTTCCAAACTAAAATATTTTTTTTCAAGCTTGATTTCAATGTAATTAAAAATAAAGTTTCGACTTTATTTGTTTTTCTCCGCTGTAAAACAAATTTAGTTAAAATAAATATTATCTTCATTTCCTTGATCTCAGATCCGACAGACTGACACACCACGAGAGTTATTTATATAATTACGTAGATAAGTCAACAAGAAAATAAGGCCTAATACACCTGCTGCTAGTAATTGCATACATTGATCTCCTTGAGTTTGCGGAACGACGGAAAACGTAGCTATGTTTATTTATTACAGCCTACCGCAACCCGAGCGATAGTTATAAGTTATAGACATAGTATTTCTTAACTAGTACTTAATATCCGTGCACTTGTAACACAGTCGACATAAACGTTGAAATTGCGCAATGTAACAAGAATGAGTTCAATCGTCGATCAATAGGAACATGAGCGTATGTTAAGCGAGTTTGTCGCCTTATTCGCCGGCTTTCGTAACTGCATCGAATCGCCGCTAACTGTGGCATTGGGACCCCCGAGCGACGCAAATTGTACTATTATGCCCGCCGTCCTTACGTCGCGTTAGTTAAAATCCGAGGAATATCGCCCAAATGGCACGTGGCACGAACTTACATTTATCATTATTAATCTGGAGCTCTAAAATGGTTACCAGATCTAAAGAGTAATGGAGTGTGCGCAGTGGTATCATTAGCGGTGTCAGGGTTGTCTCGAATATAAAATAAATTTTTAATCGTGCTCGTAACGCATTGAGAATCAATTGTTTCCGCTGAATTAAATACGCAGTACATAAATATTTCTTTGATTGTTCTAATATAATTGCCCTAAGGAGTTTGTGTTGAATATAGTTTTAGATAACTGTTAGCCTTAGTTCAATATAAATGGGAATGTAAATGTGAACGCTTATCTTAGGTCATGACTCGATTAAATCATTTTACTTAAATTCAAAGACGTCTAAAAGATAATGTAGTCGCTAGTAACATTATGATAATTATCTTTGTGAGAACCCTAACGATGCGCAGACGCATCGCGCGCGTGCCGCTCTGATTTATTTACGGCCTCATTACCAAAGCCTTTACTAAATATAACTTCCATCGTCTTTCATATCTATTCTTTTGTTTATATCAGATTTAATGGTATCAATGCATTGTCTATCTGTACTTATTAATTTAAAAAAGACGCCTTGCGCAACTTAATTCATTAATAATGATTTACAACTTAACGTTAATAATGAACAAGCTTGGATATAATTGTAAAAATGATTTGAATATTGCTATACAACAGATGGCTTTCAGATTTCACGTTCATATAAAATATTAATGAGTAAATACATACATATTTATATAAACATGCAGGCAGATGTAGACTGTAAACATTTTGTAAGTGCTAAAACATGAATTGTAATACACGATGACTAGCTATTGACCACTGCTTTACGTGCGTTGTGTCATAAAAATGAAATTTTCAAATATCCATTCTAAGAGGAAGACTACGTTATATAAGCCAATGTCAAAATTTCGTATTCTATACTTAGTTATTTTTTCAGTACTTTGGTAAAGAACATTTTAAGTATGGATTACAGTATTTATAATAACATTTAAACGTGCATCTAAAAGGGCTGTGTCTATGACCATAAATACTGACGCTTCGCTGACATTTTCATTGGATCTCAGAGATGCTAATCGTGTCATGGATTTGCACATAGCGACTAGCTAGCATTAGTCGCGGCCAAGGCGAGTCCATCTCGAACCTGTTTACACTATGCACCGGCTCATCTTGTTATGTCATACGACAACGTAACAAATACTAACTTACTCCTTAGAAATCCGCGCTCGTTACAAATAAAATTCAATGTTGTTAAGGTCCCCATTACGGTTTAACCTTGTATTGTCTTTGTGGGAATTCTTTTATAAAACGCATTCATATCTTGTTAGTACTAATTTAGATTATCTAGCATAATATTTTTCAGTAATAAAGCATTTACTTTGCGTAAATGAATGTCGCTTTATGTTGTACTTGGTGTCCTTGAATCGAGTTCATATTTAAGATTTTGTATTAGTGAACACTTTAAAATATTAGTATTTTGAAATTTTATATTAAAATTCTTTATTTGTGAAGGTAAGGAAAGTCTTAGAATGTATTTTAATACTTTTGTTACCTTTATAAATAAAGAATTTGAAATTTCATATAATGTTTAATTCTTTCAGTTTTCTGCAATTAAGTTTAAATTACATCATATTAAAATTACATTATGCTTACATTATCAAGATATTGTATCTTGATAATGTATGCGCAATGTAATAAAAATGTTTTCAGAAAATTATATGTAGTCATCTAGAAATACACTTAAGCGATACACATATGAAGAGAGTGGAATTTATTATGAGGAAAATAAAGTCTGAAACCACTTCACCAATTTGAGAATTTATATCACTTTTTGAAAATTAAATTATTATAGAATGCCATATTTTAAACATTAAGTTAATGAATTTACTATACTAGTAATTAATACTTAGAGGACTTGACCAAACAAAGGAAGATGCGTAAGCTTGCTAACAACGTGTAGTCATATTATTTTATTATTGAATATTGTTTATTACTTAATACTGCATTCTTTCTCTAAAATGATTTCAGGCTTCATGCTCTCTTACGATTA